GAGATAGTTACGGGTGATTTTCACAAGGTATGGTGGAAAGTTGGAGTTACAAAGCTTGTATATAAGTCCGTCGTGCCAGACATTGTCAAACGCCTTTTCGACGTCTAACAAGGCCATGGCTGTGGACTTGGATACAGCTTTGTTACTTCGGATGTTATTCATCACCCGCACTAGCTGATGATTGGTGGCCCCTTGCGGAACCCGAACTGTTCCGGAAGAAGAATGTCATGTTCCTCCACAAACTTGTTTAGTCGGCTGAGGATCAATTTTTCGAACAGCTTGCTCAGCGCTGAGAGCAGGCTAATCGGTCTGTAGCTTGACGGTAGTGAAGGGTCTTTCCCAGGTTTGCGGATCGGGATGATTTTTGCCACCTTCCAGATGCTTGGAAAGTAGTGCAGCTCCAAGCATCTGTTGAGGATGGCAGCCAGCAGCGAGTGCACCCTCGCGCTGAGATTTTTCAACTCTAGGTTGAATATTCCGTCAAACCCGGGAGCCTTCATGTTCGTACTGTGTTTCAGCGCTGAGCAAATTTGTTCCTCTGTAATCCGTTCTTCTGGAGGGACGGCACAAGGGGAGGCATCTAACGTCTGGACGCACTGCACAACCTGGTTCTCGAGTGGACTTGGGATTGTAGAGCCAAGCAAATGCGACTGGGCAATGTGCTCCCCAATTGCATTGGCCTTCTCTTCGTTGGTGATAAGCCGTTCGTCATTGACTCTAAGTGGTGGAATGGGCTTGGGGTGAGACTTCAGCACCTTGGCAACCTTCCAGAATGGTCTGGAACGGTCGTCCAGGTTCTGAACGAGCCGCCCGAAACTCTCGTTCCGGATTGAGACCATTCTGGAAGCGATCTGCCGATTCAGATCGACCATTTCGTATTTACGCTGCAGATCCCCAGTCCGCTGAAACTGGCGTCTACGAACATTTCTGAGCCGAATCAAGAGTTTGGTGTGGGAATCAATTGCTTGAAACTTACCCCTCACAGGAACTCGTCGAACGCACTCTTCGTCAGCCACGGATATGGCTTGATGGAGACCCTCCAGGGCCCGGTCGATGTCCTCCACTGTGTCGAGCGGTGGGTTGTCGTCGATGTGGCGGTCGACCACGCGTCGAAACTGGACCCAGTTGACTCGATGGTAGTCCTTCCGCTGGCACGGTGCAGGGGCCACGTTGTAGCCCAGCTCGGTCAGCACCGGTTGGTGGTCCGAACTCAGGTCGTTGACGGCAACCGGCTTGGCTAATCTGGTGTTTGCCAAGAACAGGTCCAGCGTCGATGGGTTGCCCGTCGGTGATGTGAAGGTTGGTTCGTCCGGAAACCAGACGGAATAGAGACCATGCTGGGAATGGTCGAATAGCAGGCGGCCGTTCTGGTTCTGCTGGTAGTTCCGCCAGGCCTCGTGCCGGGCGTTCAGGTCCCCTCCGATTACAAAGCGGGCATTGGTGTGGGTTATGATGGCAAGGTCGTTCTTGAACTGCTGTGCTGTACCATTGCTAACGGTACATTGCCGGGGGCAGTAGACAACGATGAACCGGACGTTTCCGGTCGATGTTTCCACCTCAACGCCGACGGCCTCGATGATGGAAGTGCGGTAGTGGGGTAGGGTGCAGTACTTGATGCCTTTCTTGATGATGACCGCGACACCGCCCCCCCCTGGAGCTGGTGCGATCAAGCCGGACAATGCTGTGGTCGGGCAGCCAGAAGCTGTCACCGGTCTTGAGGTGGGTCTCGGTGAGAAGGCCCACGTCGATGTCGTGCTTGCGGAGGAAGTCTGCAAGCTCAATGTTTTTCGCCCCTACGGAGCGAGCGTTCCAGTTGGCGATCTTTATGGGTTCACGGTCCATAATTAGCGACGAAGGAGATGATAGCTTGGAGCTGTTGTGTTCTTGTTGCGCAGGTGCGCTTGATTATGATGGCCTGGGCCAACAGTGTGACGATCTCATCCGTTGACAGCGGAGAATCGTCTGTAGCTTCACCGGTTGTACCGGCCAATCCCGGAGCAGGGGGATCCGTCGATGGCCCGGAGGCTTGACCGGGTACTGCAGCGGCGGCCAACTGTTGGTTGAGCGGGAGCGGCGGCAACACTGGAATTGGCCGTGATTGGACCGGTGATAACGGAGGAAAGTTCTGCGCGTTGTTTTCTGGAACCTTCTTGCGACCGGGCTGGCTGTTGGACGAGGCCTTCTTCCGGATCTCGGCGTATTCGGCCCGCTTCGGACAGGCCTTACTCGTGGCCTTGTGGGCGGCACCGCAGTTGGCGCATGTGGGAGTGGCTTCCTCGATGCTGTCGCAGTTGTCGATCTTGTGGTTTTTGCCGCATTTGATGCAGCGGCTGGCCATGCGGCAATTCCTGGTGCCGTGCCCGAACAATAGGCAGTTCGAGCACTGAGTGACGCCACGGTGGGTGGGTTTATACCGCTCCCACTTCACTACGATGTGGAACAGTGTGCGTGTCGTCTGGAGATCCTTCACGGTTGTGGAGTTCTTCTCCAGATGGACCAGGTAGAGCTGGTCACGATACTTGATGGCCTTGCTGCGGGTCATCTTGTGGACTTCGACCGGCTTGAGGCCGTTCGCCTTAATCTCGTCCATTAAGGTGGTGGTGTCCATGTCGTGGAGCCCACGCAGCACCACTTTCAGCGGCTTGGTGGCCTCGATGTCGTGGGAGAAGTACTCCAGCTTCATTCTGTCCAAGAGGGCCTGAACTGCGTTGAAGTGTTTTTCGGCCGGGACCATCAGTTTGTAGCCTTCCGTGCACCGTTGAATGGTGCAGCGAAGGCCCTGCTTAATGTAGAAATCCAGCTGCTCCCATAGCCCGGGAGGGAAGCCCTTCACATAGAAGGGTGGCAACTTAACTTTTTTCGGCACCGTCTCAGGGTCCGACTGCGGCTGGGCTCCGTTCTGCAGGGCGGAGAACGGATTGTTGCTCAGCAGCTTTTTTGCTGCTGATACGGTGGCGCTGCTGTCTTCAGGTCTGGGTCGTTTAGTTCCGGGAGGCCCCGGCTGCGGGTTCGCAACGCCTGTCGGGATGGGCAATGGGGTTTTCTTCTGCTTCTTCTGGGCTGGCTCGGTGGTCGCGCCGTCTCCTGGGAGAGTCTGTTTTCCCGGTAAACCGGCACTCGCGTTACCGCGCGATTTCTTACCCATGGCTGGGTCAGCGAGAGCGTCACTACACAACGCGGTGCTAATTCGACTTGCGAACGAACGAACGAAACTAGAGAGAATTCAAATCGACTGAACTGCTCAACAGTCTGGCAGCGAATGATGCTTATTTTGACCATGAATACCTCTTTTATACCTACTCGAAGCCTAAATTCTTCTTGCAAGTTGTTGCATTTTTGTTCTTTCATCGTTTATGATTGGTTGAACACAACAAAAGTATGTTATTAAATAGAGGAGAAAGCGGTTGAAATTTTTATTCAACGTGTTCGATTCATCGTATCTGTACCGTAACTAAGCACGGCTCGTACCAAGCAGACCGCTCGTAAGTCCACCGGCGGAAAGGCTCCTCCTGAAATCGCCCAGGACTTTCAAGACCGATCTGCGCCTTCCAGAGGTCGGCCTTTGCAGGAATCCAGCAAGGCCATTTCGAAGATACTAACCTGTATGCCATCCACGTCACGAAATCTAACAAAACTGGCCCTTTTCAAACCCATTAGAAGATTCCAGAAGAGAGTTGGGAAGAAAATTTCTGCTGCTTTCACTGATCACATCGCAGTGAATCCTGATCTTAAAATTGCAACCAGCAAGTGGCCTAGAACCAAAAGCGGTGCGATGCTAGTTTTCATTGCTGTGACGACGACTTTAAGGGGCTTAGAAGCAGAAGGATGAAAACCAATTCTCTATCGATTTCCTCTTTTGTGATCACCATGGCTTCACTTACCTATTTCGCACTATTTCTGCTATTCTCTTCTATCAGCCACAACAAAAATGGTATATGAATAAAAAGAGTTTACTTTACTTTCCCGTGCTTTTCTTACGGGAAAAGTAAAGTGAACCCTTTTTTTCATATGACCTAATGAATCCGTGAATGATCAGAACTAATCAACTTGCACATCGGTTAAAGCAGAATTTGTTATTTAAATCTAGTGGGGATAGGATAAGGCAAAGTGAAATATTGCAAGGATGGGGACGGGCCTGGGATTAAACCACGACCTTCTGCTCAGTAAGCAGAAACGGTAACCACTGAGCTATCGAGCCTCGTCGTAATACTACATCGACATGTTTCGTCTAGAAATGATTCTCTTATGAATGTGTTGGGAAAGCAGCATAAGCATGTACGTAATTGGTCGATTTATTAGTTAATTCGACGCTTTTGGACAATGCAGGTCATTTACCATTTTTTCAATAGTTTTTGTTGAAAATCAACAGTCGAAAGAATTACTCGATGCGTAGAAATATTGCTGATCGATTGGTGATAAAAATTTTGAAATTGGACCAGGGGCAGCTGAGTTATTAACGTTCAAAATCTTTCACAATTTTGTTTCATGGTCCATTTTTACAAAGTGTACCCCCATATAGAAATCACAAACGTAGTCCTACGTCAAAAGAAACCAGGTTTGGAAAACATTGTTAACTGTTTTTAGGGACGTAATTTCATTTGTATAACTCCTTTCATGCGGACTTGAAATATCGTCCGTCGTAGCTTGTTGCGATGGAGATTGCATCAAAATGGCACCCTTAACGAGTTCAGAACCACTTCTAACCATTCTAGGATGGTGCAATGGAATGTCCCCTAGATGTAGATAATGACAATAACGGGATTAGAATACGTTTAGGGTGTTTTTTTTTGGTTCAACCGAAGTGAAAAAAAATGCATTTTTGGCGATTTTTGTAGCATCAAAATGGCACCCTTAAAGAGTTCAGAACCACTTCTAACCATCTTGCAATCTTTGGAATGGCTGGAAGGCAAATGATTCGACCCTATGAATTAAAGTAGCTTGGGTTCTAACCAACGGTCTTGTGCTCAGTAAGCAAAAACGGCCGCTCTAAGGCTACCATACCCCTTACCTGGCATAGGGGTTACCGTGATCATGAAGGCGGTTCCCCCAGGGTGAGGCCCTTCCATTGCACTACGGTTGGGTTGACCCCTGCGATTATCCCTCATGTGGATAACTCGTATGCGCAATTTTTGATAGGCTATCCTATCAATTCAAGGAAATTTTGTTTGCCAAGTTGCATCTGAGCTCCACTATTTGAAAGTAAGGCTTAGATTTAATAAAATGGACCTTCCTGAATCTATACTTGAAGGTAATTTTTTTTAGCAATGAGATTAAATTCACAAAAGTACGTATTTTCATGGAAATTTGATTTTCCTGTTCTGTCAAGTTGGGTAACTTCTCCGTCCTTTGAAAGTTAGGCTTGAATTTTATATGATTTTCTTATTCTGCCAAGCTAAATTACTGCTCCAGCCGCTGTAAGTTAGGCTTACCTCGTGAAAATACCTACTTTTGAGAATTTAAACCCTGTTTTCTCAACAAATGTGTTGTGCTTCTCTACCGGTTTTTGACGTTTAATCGTTTTTCCTTATCTACAGGGTGTCTGCTAATTTAACTTAATAAAATTTCCCGAGTTTTTGAGGTTTTTTCCAGCACTTTAACGGACACATTACAGGTTTATAATAAGAAACCTATTTTTTAATTATTTTATTTGTAAAACAACAACAGCAATTAACGCAAACAATGTAAACAAACACGTCATTTCAAGAGCCACATGTGAAAAGGGCATACAAGCCTTTTGTAAACAAACCTTTTAGGCCCTTTTCTCGTCAACCGAAGGTTGCTCACGCAAACCAGCAATACCATCGGGAAGGGGAAAGTTTCCCCTACCCGGTGATGTTAAAGGTTTGCGATGGTCTCATATGGGTGACGAGAAAAGGGCATAAGAAGGTTTGTTTACAAAAAGCTTGTATGCCCTTTTCACATGTTGTTCTTGATTTGAAAATTACTCGCGAATTAAAGCTCGATCTAAAAAACTAACAACACAAACAGGTAGAGGAATGGTTAGGCCTATTCTGCGCGGCGTGTGAGGGGAGGTGAAACGCTCTCACTTGTGAAGTGACAATTGTCACCTCGGGTGAGGTGACTCTCCGTGCAAATCAAATGGAGAGTCACCTCACCCGAGGTGACAATTGTCACTTCACCATCACTTCACTGTCACTTCACCTCACACGCCGCGCAGAATAGCCCTGGGTTCCTCTATCATTTGGTACAGTTTGATCGCGAGATTGTCATTTTATTCGTATGAAATCGGTGATTGACGTGTTTGTTTACAAAAGCAATTCAATGGAGGCGAACCAGCCCAAGGCTGAAAGCCTCCCTAATAAAGATAAATTAATTAATTACAAAAGCAATTACGCCCAAATCTCAAAGTTCTCCGGAACTTAATATCCTAAAAATATTGTGAACTTACTGGAGCTTCAAGAATCCAAAAGCGGTTAGCGATAAGCTTCCGAAAAACTGTAGGAACTTATAAGAAGCTCCTGTAATTTCAGAGACCTTCACCAGTGTCAAGAGAAGTTCAGAAATATAGAGAACTTGAGGAAAATTGTGGATACATTTAAGTAGTTCCAAGTTTATAGGGACCGTACAATAGGAACCGGCATTAACGAATATACATAGCATATGGGATTAGAGCTAAATGGAGACACACACAATTTTTGTAAGGTAATTTGAAGAAATAAATTCCTGGTGTCTTATAGAAAGTTATGAACAAGACAGATGACCTCCTTTTGGGACAATTTTGCATCCGGAAAGTCAGAAGTCTGGTCCTCCGGAAAATCCGTAAAAGTTGTCAAATCATGAAACTGTTCCTAGAGCTCCGCGAATTTTTCGAAACCACTCATAAACGTTTTATTAGAATGAATTCGAAGTTGTGACCGGAATATGAACCGTGGGGACTACGGGATGGTCCACTAAAAGATCCGGAACATCCGTAAAAGTGGTAAATTAGTGAAATTGATCCTGTAGCTCCGTTTTTTTTTAACCACTCATAGACGTCTTATCAGAATTAGTTCAGAATTATGACCGGAAAATGAACCCTGGGGACCACGGAATGGTTCACCTGAAGATCCGGAACATCCTTAGAGGGGGTCAGTTCATCACTAGAGCTCCACAGTTTTGTGTTTAAACTATTCATTGACATCTTATCAATATGAATTCGAAGTTGTGATCGAAAAATAGACCCTTGGGTCCACGAAATGGCCCTCCAGAGGGTCCAAATCATCCCTAAAAGAGGTAAATTCATGAAACTGATCCTAGAGCTCTTCTGATTGTTCGACATCACTCATAGATGTCTCATCAGAATAAAATGGGAGCTGTGACCGGAAAAATGGACCCTTGGGACCACGAGATGGTTCACCAGAAAGATCCGGAACTTCCATAACATTGTTCAGTTCTTGGTCCGCTTTTTTTCAAAACCACTCATTGGCGTCTTATCCAGGCTTCCAAATAGTACAGTCTCCTCGCGACAGTTGGTTTATACCTGAATTGACTGTTGCTTTGTGTGCTTTACTACCGCTTGCTACCGTACGTTCAGATCTGAATTCGAAGTGTATTGGTAACAGCGCACTCACGAACGAATGAAAGCTGTATTAGAACAGTCGCATCTATACCCGCTTTGCTAAAATCATCGTGCTTGAAACGTAGTGAACCGAATGGGCTGTATTTATGCATTTCTTTATGACCAGGTTCTCAATGTTTCTGTCGTCATAACAGCCTTCACAAACCGACGACATCCCTCAGCTTACCCAAGTGGCTGTCACGAAAAGGCTGTCACGAGACATTATATACAATTGATATACGGCAGTGGAGTGTGGAAGAAACCCAGAAGAATGGTCCCGAACAGATATGTCGGCCCGATGTCGGATCAATGTAAGGTCAATTTATGGTCGACGTCGGCCAAATGTCGGGTCGATGTCGGGTCAATTCTGTGTTTATGCCGGGTCAATGTCGGGCCAACATCGGGTTGGGGTTTGGTTGAAGTCAGGTTGGTGTCGGGTAGGCTTATATTTTTCGCCGGAGACCGTGCGTTTAAAAAAAAATATCGGATGAAAATTTTGCAATGGGCAGCACGATCGTGATAGCAACCGAACGAGCTCCGGCGCCACACTGGTAGTGTAGTAGCAGTCTTACGACATGCAAACAAAATTTCAAAGACAGTAGCAACGAATCGGCAGTTTGACGGACTGCTTGTTGTATGTACGAGGAAAGTTACGAATGACCATCCGAGGTTGTCATAGCCGAACGAACAAAATACATAACTAAGAACGAGCTGTCGTGTACTGCACAAGACGGCAACGTTGCATGTCGTATAACAGCCTCACTGTGGGCTGTCGCTTATAGCTCAATCTCAAGGCTGTCGTAGGAAAAAGAAAGCGACAGCCGTTGGAATACTGTCATTAGGCGGTACTTTTGGTATGCCTGGTCTTATCAGAATGAATTTGGAGTTATGACCAGAAAATTGACCCTACACAATGTGTTCAAGACCAAAATATTAGCGCCCAAACCATCACTTTTAGTTACATGGTGCCTTGGGAAAAGTTTCTTCATATTTGTTGGCCATTTTTTTATGTTAGTGAAAATAGGGTGATCCATAAAATTGGTGAATTGAAAATACAAAGTTTTTATTTTTTGAGATAGACCAATGCAGTGTTGTAGAACAAGCAATTTGAAGCAACTTTGCTCAAAACATCAAATTGTTATCTGTTATGGTGCATGACTTATGATTATTTTAAATGAGCAAATTAGGGTGGCCCCTAGAAAATCGGCTTTCTTTAAATATATTTGTATACGTTTATTTCTCGTAAAAACTTTCTAGATACTTTTAAAACTTGTTATGACGCATATTTTTGCTGAAGCAACTAGGTTGATTTCTCCTTTATTTAAGTTATGGCCAGTTTTTGCTAAAAACTACACAGTTTTTTCACCAAAAATGAAATAAAGGGCCTTATTACGGGTGTCACTACACGGTGATAAGGAAGTGATACTCAGAATAAGAGCCGTGATTGCCGTGCAATTCAAATAGGGATCACTTCACCGTTATGACAAGTGACAAGTTTTCACCATGAAGTGACATCCGTAATAAGCCCTAAAAACACGATCTATCAAATGGAATCAAAAGTTTGAAAATCGGTTTGCTCCATTTAGAGATATTGATTATTTAATAGAACCATTTTTTCGAAGAAAATCTCCATTAATTTTCTATTAAAAAAATATAGTAACCTGGTTGTTCAAGTCTAGCCTATCTAGTCTAGATTAAGTCATAGGACTAATTATTTATTTCGTTTTGATTCCAAGAAAATTGCGGGAGCTTAAAGAAGTCAAAGAAATTTCAGAAAAATCTTCGAAAACTTCACAGAAGTGTAGAGATCTTCAGAAACATTTCGAACACTTCATAGAAGTCTACGGAAATTAAGGGAAGATCCGAGAAGTCCAGAAACTCCAATAGTTTCAGAAAATTAGCAGGCAATTTTAAGAAGTTCCCAGATTTTAAGAGAATTTCAGAGATGTTTAGACAATTTTTGAGGTCTTCGCATAAGTTCAGAAGCTCACGGAAGTTTTATCATTTTTAGGACAGTTCGTATTAACCCAAAATAACAGTTCAGCTATAGAAGCAGCTGCAGTTGTATATGTCGGTGTCGATCGCTATCGACAGTTTGTTTACTCGATCAAGTGAATAGTCGGAGCGCTTCTGTAGTTTCCCTTTGAAGCAAACATTTTGATAATGAGCGGCGTTGAAAATTAGAATACATGATAGCTGAGGAGAAATCACCCTTTATAAAATTTAAAACTCCATACAGAAGTTCCTGACCGTGATCTAGCGTTAGTGCTAGGGAAATGCGGTAAACTGAAGCGTGTCATCCGGCATTCCCAGCAGAGCTTTACTTCGACATGTACACTGGTGTACATTGTGTATACATGGATGTGAAAAAGGAAATTCGCACCTCGTTGCATTTCCTCAATCGGATCTATCAAGGAATCAAACACATATGTTTTTGTGTAAGTTGGAGGGGAACCGAATGAATTCCTGTCCCAAGCGGAAGACTCGAAAGCAGCTAGAGAGACAAGAACAGGACGAACAACGAAAGTAGGTTGAAGTAAACCGCGAAGATCGGTGCGGTAGCAGTTTGAATAGTAGTTCGCACGCAGATATGGTAACCGGAAGAGCCACAGCGGGAGCAATTGAGGGGCTCGATAAAGAAGTAATGGCAACCGACAGCATGACTCCGGAAGCAGCAGAGAACAGGAAAGAAGTACAAGCGAGTGGAAGCCACGAACAGCAGCAACCGATTTTCGACTACCGGAAAGACCCGACGTATTTAACTACAAAGGAGCTGTTGAATCAGCTACAATGCAGGGAAGATAGGAAAACCGAAGTAAGACGAAAGTTCAGGACGCGGCTGTACTGAAATACAAACCATTCATTTTTTTCGTTAAAAATTTATAAAATTTTTAACCTAAGCAAATAAATATTTGGGGAAAAAAATAACATGCCTTAACACATTGAAAAATCTGGACATTTTGTTAATGTCCTGGAAAACATGGACATTTCAGGAAATTTTATTTAGCAAAATACACCCGGTATCTGTTATACCCGGATGAATGAATATGTGTACCGAATACCGTACCGGCCGGGACCAACGGCTTTACTTCCCTTCCGAACGTGGGGGAACTGAACGTGACCAGAGATTTTTATGCCTCAGAAAAATCCCACTGACATCGGTTGGGAATAAACCCAGAAAGCAGTCACGCTTACCACTACACCACCGGTGCCGGCTGTATAGGTAGTCAAATTTCCATAAAACACGTGAAAGACGTCATAAGATTTAATCCTTTGTATCCTTAGGTGTACTTTAAGAATGCACCCCAAATCCTCAACGCACAGATGCGCTAACTTAGCAAATGACGCCTTCTTGCAAAATCGCATATTAGCATATCCCCGAATCAATTGCTCCATACAACCTCAACGAAACATTTCCGGCAACCCTTGCAATGACTTACCATACAACCAGCCAATCTCGACACCCCAGAAACAGATCCTACCAGCTGATTCAGACATCGTTTCTAGTACCTTCTAAATATAAATTTCATTCATTAAATCGTTACAGCAGCTCAGTGTATCGCTGCAGCTATTTAGGAGATCAACACCCTCGGTCGGTCATGATCAAGTTCACTTTTCGTAGCTGTGTGAGAGCAGCGTGTGCAGCAGTTTACCACGAAGCAGTTACTCTCGAGGACTTCTGAAGAAATCCGAGTGCGTTCGTCATCTTTCTGCTCTACATCAATCATCCAATCAAGTCACTGAATCAAGAAACGGAACGCTCTGGAAAAAGGGTCAATCACGTGTTTGGCTCAACTAAATCCTGCGTTCATGGACCGGTGGGTCGTGATTGACAGACAGCCATCGTCGCCTTCATCATCTCGATCATCGGTATCTGCCGCAGTGACATCAGAATTCAAGACAAAGCCAATTGAGGTGCATCGCGCCGCGTGTAACAAGTCAAGAGATTTGCATGAACACTCACAAACAAATCACTCACTGACCAGATGGCCACCCAGGCAAAGGTGGGGAGCACCGCTGCTGTTGGCAAGACCTAAATTGAATGTAATTCTCTAATTTAGTTTAAACTAATCTCGGACGGTTGATGGCGTTGACAACTACTACATGCTAGTACCTTCTTTTTTGGATTAACACACGGATACGTCCATGATCGTGATCCCAGCCGAGCAAAATCATCCCCGTTGTTATTAGTTTGAGTTTGGCAGTGGACCGGATTAGACACGGATTCTTCGGTCGCGGGTATTCCTCTCCCAGCCCGTTCTCGTTGGTCGATGTAGTGGATCGGTTTTAACTCAAGGGGTGCAGTAGAGCAGAAGCATAAATAGATCCTTAAAAGGGGAACACGGCACGAGTCGTCGATGTGCGGATCGGTGTGAGTGGATTTGTTGTTCAGTGCCTTTGCAGAGTGGATAAATTCGAAATCGGAGTAGAAAATGGGTGAATTGGAAGATATCGTGGAACACATGAGGAGATTCTCCTGGCCGGATTATCTGGTGTTTGTGATGATGCTGTTCTTGTGCATCCTGATCGGAATCTACTTTGGATTTATGCAGCGCAAGCCGAGCACCGAGTCGGAATACCTGATGGGTGGACGGACTATGTTGGTGTTTCCGATTGCGTTGTCCTTGATTGCTAGGTGAGTTTTCTTCTTCTTGCGTTTTGGCTGTTATTCTGTAACGGAACGTAATTTTGTAAGTTTGACTGGCCGTTAATAATTCAGCACTGGAATACTTTGAAGTTCGTAGATCTTTACAGAGCACCCTGGAGGTTTCAGCAATTTAAAATTTGACATACACTCAAGAAGTTCAGCACCACCCCAAGGTTCTTGTTTAAGTTATCCTTCTATAACTCTACATGATCATTTTTGAAAGTTATCTGTGATTTAAGTTATGTAGTAATGATTGAACACTTACACACTGCTTTCAACAGAGCTTGCAGACCTCCCCTCCCCTAAAATGGTACGTTATTTGAGGATCGTACCGAACACCTTCGCAAATCAACACGCACACCAAACGACAAATACATCAAAATGTTCTTACATTTAATGTAAGTATGGGTTTCTTACTTCCTTTGTATATGTTTCTGACGAAAAATACTACTTGGCTTTATTTTGTTTTTATTTTTTACTAATTGGCTCTATATTATTATTATAGAGGTAACTCTAAAAGCAGAAGGTCCCGAAGAAACGTGCTCAACTTTTTGGCTCAGTTCTGGTACTCTCTTCGGTTGCAAGCTAATCGATGCACCCCTCGAAACATAGGAAAATCCGAGAACCCCTCATTTTATCTGTAAAACTTTCATAGCGAATCAAAACAAACATAGTGTAGTACTAGAATTTCGACTAGAATGGGGTACGTTAATCGATTTACTTGGGACCAATAGTCAAGTAGAGAGCCAACTTTAAATCGTTAGTTTCCACCGGTTGGTAATACCACGTAATTTATAATATTTGCCTAAAGCAAGGAATAGATGTTTTGGTTTCTTTTTGCACCACAGTGGATACATTTTCATGTATTTTCATTTCGTATTTTGATGTTCTGATATATTCCATTTCTCCATTACATATATTTAATTTCAATAAATAAATACTGGGTTGGGAGGGAGCATCAGGGTATCATTCAAACTGGAACTGGACGATGGTATGATTGACAGCCGGAGTCTAGGAGGGAATAAACACTATCATTTTCTTTATCCTACCGATTCGATTGTGGTGGTGTGAATAATACTCCAACAGTTTCAGGGCGATTGACGCGTCCTTCTTAACAAACCATCCAGGCTTAATAAGTATTGCGAATTGCGTTATTCGATTTGTTTGATCGTTTCGATGGGAGGAGATTCTTAAATTTCCGTGGATTTCGTGTAAATGCCTCTGCTTACGGGACCACCCCTCATACTTCTATGCCCAGGGAAGTCGAGAAATTTTCCAACCCGAAAAATTCCTTGACCGGACCGGGAATCGAACCCAGCCACCTCCAGCATGGTCTTGCTTTGTAGCTGCGCCTTTACCGACTGAGCTAAGGGAGCTAAGGTTATTACTTCATTCATGTATGATTAACGATTACAAAGTAACAGTAACGCCTGGTAGATTAACTTCTCGTGGTGCGTTACTGCGTTACGTTTTCTACCACCGAAACCTAGTCCGAATTACTTCAAGCTAGGGGAGCAGGATTGTTCAAAGGAACACATATTAGTCCTTTTTACTTTTTTACTTTAAAAAAAAATGTCGTGTATATTGTTCCCAAAGAAACTTTTCTTTTCTAAATTTTATCTCAGAAATTATTTCGATCAAAAATTATGTTTTCGCGCAACAATTTATTGAAAAATGTCATAAGCGCCATTTAAAAAAAAAAATACAACATCCAAAATGGTCAAATTTTTGTAAAAAAGTGTATGATTGCCCACAACACACAATTATGGAAATCGGAGAAGGTCAAGTTTTTCGATTTGTCATTTGCCATGAAACTCAGGGGAAACATGTCAGAAGGTGTGGTCATTCAAAAGAAATCGACGTTCAAAGTCATTGTTTACGTTTCGAGTTATACCCTTCTGACATGTTTCCCCTGAACTGGTCAGCGTGCTGACTTTACTATCGGGACTGGCAAAAGCAATGGTCCCCCGATTCGCTCATATACCGCCAATATGCAGAAATATTTCAACCGATGTTTATCACCTATGTCGTCGTTTGACGTAAGCATCTAGTCGATGGTTTTGAATTGCAACTCTGTGATACCAACCTATTGTTCGCTCTCTCATTATAGCCAACGTAACTATCGCTCAAACACCTGAAAGTCTCTTTGATAAAGTAGCCTAACCTAACCTATCGCTCAAACATGTTTAGCCGAAAGCAGGAGCAACTATAAGGTCACAGACACATAGACATAACACTCGCAAGTTATGAAGAGCTTTAAGTGTGTTGGTTTATTTCTTTTAAATTCCGTTATAATTGCTTATCTTTTGACAGATACGCGTATTTCATCTACTACCGTATGCGTGATAATGTTTGCACCATTGAGCAATGTCAAAATTAAAAAAAATCTCAAATATTTCGTTTTCGAGTTTTTCTCAGAGTCTTAAACTATGTTAATCATCGATAAAGTTTCCACATGCTGTAATTACGGCCTCCACACGCTTCTGGAATGCACAGCAGGTTCTAATAATGTAGTCTGGATCCATTTATCTCCAGGTACGGGTCAATGTTTGTCTGAGGCTTGCTGTACTCGGATGGCGTTTAGAACAGGCCTTGGTCTTCATTACGCGTAATATTGAGTAATCCAGCGGATTAAGATCGGGGCTGGATGGTGGCCACATATCCTTCACCCAGAACGGAAGATGCTCCTGCAACCACTTCTGAGTGCGGTTCGAGGTGTGGCACGGAGTCCCATCTTGTTGAAATAAAACATTTGGCTTCGGAACGTACTGTTCTTTGATCCACGCAAGAACATACTTACTTAAAATCCCGATGTAGACTTCCGTGTTGACCTTGTCGCCTTCTGGAATGAACACCGGGTCCATTTGTTTTGCCATCGGAAGCCACCAATCCAAACACCATAACGCTAGCAGCATGCTTGGTCAGATACACGTTCTTGTGCTCGTCGGCCACGTCTTTTACCGGAAGAGAACTAATATACCGGTCGGTTCTGGAATTCGATACGGGATCGACGGATTTTTTCGCTTAAGGAAGTTCAAGATTTTCTTGCATCGTTCGACTCGTAGCTCCCGGATGCGGTTGGTAATCATGTGAGCTTTTTTTCCGTGACCTCGACTTCGCCCCGCAATCTTCCTTTACGATCTTCCGTGCCGTAAAGTCACTGATCCCGTGTTCCTTTGCCATTTTCCTTATTGAACGCACTGGATTCACCCGTATCTTCCTTTTGATAGCAGAGATAACCCTCGGAACCCGAGCTGACCTCGGACGACCTGTGGCCACCTTCGCGGATAGTTGTCCTTTCTTTTCTCGGTCTAAAACCCTTTTGACGGTCCACAGTGTTGAGTACTTGACACTGATGAATTCTGCAAGTAGTAGACGAAATAGGCGTATCTGTCAAAAGATAAGCAATTATAACGGAATTTAAAGGAAATAAACCAACACACTCAAAGCTCTTCATAAAGGGATTCCGTTAAGAGGTTCGACAAATTTTAAAGATTACTCGCAAGTAGTTAATCGAACAAGCATGGAAAATTTAAAAGTATCGTAGTTGGTAGTACCGCCACCTTTGGCGCGCATAGTCAATTCCCTTGCGTTTGACATTTACATACTAGCGCCATCTGTTCAGTGTAGTTCCCACCACAGTGTACTCAACAGATGGCGGTAATGTTTTAGCGACGATGTTTTACAGTGAGATATATTCAATGTGTTATGTCTGTTTGTCTGTGATAAGGTTGTCCATAAGGCAGTTGCGATCAGCTGACTTTGTTGTGTACCAAGAACTTTTGACAGATCTCAGTAGAACTGGCAGTTTATTCTCAAATGAATTTCTGCTTTGTTTATGTTTACATTCAGCACCATTAACACCATATCACTCACAAACTCTAGATTTCTAGCTGTCAGTTCCACTGAGAAACGTCTCTTGGATCACCTTATAGTTGGTTTGTGGACGCCGTGGCGCATTTTGTACCAAGTTTGCCATATCACACAAAATTTGCCTCCTGTTTTTCCAGGAAAAAAATTCTAAGTATGAGAAAAGTAAAGATTGGATTTTCTCCGTCTATTTGTACTACTCCTACCCCAAAAAATATAATAGAACAACGAAATAACAATGATTTTTACTGTTAATTTTCGAGTACATACAAATTTATTGTTAAATTTGTGTATGGGAGAACACATAATGTTTTAACATTTTTAACTATACAATGCTCAAACAATGAAAATTAATGTGATAAGATCAAACTTGTTCGAGAAAATCAGTTGTTTTTATATTAGAGATGAACCAACAATCAATTCGAAACTAACGATTTTAAATTGGCTCACTACTTGACTAGCCTGTTGGTCCCAAGCAAATCGATTAACGTACCCCATTCTAGTATAAATTTCAGTACTACACTATGTTTATTTTAATTCGCTATGAAAGTTTGACAGACAAAATGAGAGGTTCGTGGATTGTCCAATGTTTCGAGGGGTGCATCGATTAGCTTAGGACCGAAGATAGTACCAGAGCTGAGCCAAAAAGTTGAGCTCGTTTTTTCGGGACCTTCCGGTCTTAGAGTTACCTCTATGGATGAACCACCGACAAACCGACATAAATGACCATAGCAAAAACAATAAAATTTCTGATCAAAGCACACTACTGACATCTGGCTCCGTGTTTGCGGGAAATATTTAGCTAAGCCATGAACCCGTATGCAAAAGTTATGAAATGGTTCGTGTCTGATCTATTTTGGACAAATTATTTTTATCTATATCCATCGGCGTAACTTATGGGGGTGCCAGGGGGGCCAGGCCCCCTCCAGAATTTTTGGTGTTTGTTTTTGACTCACCGGTATTTCTTCATACTTGTTAAGTTCAATGCTACTATTTAACAGTGATTAATAAAATCGGACCACCAACAAAGATTTTTTAAGGTCCTTTATGTTGATTACTTTTGTTATGTTTTGGACTAGAAGAAACAATTTTGAGAAATTATATTACATCAAATCGTCTTCAGGCTCTACAAATTTGCCATGAGCCTAGGAATTTTTCTTTAACTTGTGGAGACTTCACAAAACTTCAAATAGAAGTTCAGGGAAGATCGTAGAAATTAAGTAAACTTGGTAGATATTCTGGGAAATTCATAGACCTTCAGAAAAATTCGTAGAAAAAAGGAACTTCGAAAAGTTCTGAAAAGTGCGTAGAAGTAGAGAATTCATTTAAATTTGAGGAGCTTCGTAGAAGTTAAAGGAACATTATTTTATTTTAGGGAAGCTCATTATTGATCGGAAATCTCTACATAATTTCAGTTTTGTTTAGCCTCATGGACTTGGAATATTTGTGGAAATTCAACAGCAAACTTTGTAGAAGATTTCGAATTTCGTTGCATTTTTAAGAACTGCGTAAAACTTCATATAAGTGTAAGGAATTTTGAAAAAGGGATTTTTTTAAAAGATCTAAAAATAGTTCAATAAACTTCTAAGAACATCAGGGATCTTCGCCTCAGTTAAGGAAACTTCGTTGCAGTTTTTCAGAGACCTTACTCCAAAAAAGCTCCTTGACTTCTTGGAGGTTTTGGGAACTTCGCTAAATTCAAGGAACTTTCTAGGTGTTCAAGAATATTTGTAGATGTCTTAGGTGTCTTTCCAGAAGTGCAAAGATGTTCAGAGATCTTTGTAGAAAGATGTTTTTAAAGAAATGGAAAAAAATATGGAATGTGGAATAAATTCAGGGAACTTCGTAGAAGTTGAGGAAATTTTGTAAAACCTAAGCTTTGTAGATGTTCAGGAAACGTTGCATAAGTTACAGGATATTCTTTCAAACATCCTTCCTAGACATCAGGAAATATTCGAAAGCTCTCCTTATAGTCCAAGATATTAGTAAAGTTCACTGGATATTTGGTAGTATCAGGAAGTATTCAAAAGTTTTCCAACCAATGGAGTCAGATGGAATCTTGAATGATGAATCTTGATTTATGGCCATATTTCTACATTCTCTATTGGGACCGCCCGTGCCTTGGTGTTTTAGCTATATTGTCACAAATTTGCACTCCATCTGCTAAATTCCGGGCAGAAATTTCAATTTCTGCATATACCTAATATGTATAAATTTCTTTCTTTTCGAATATCCTTTTTTATTACTTACAAAATCTTGAAAACATATGGGTTTGGGATCTCAAAATTATTTTTTATATTCACATGACCACAATGTTAAGGATTGTGCATCTGCAGCATATGCATGTACGTAATTAGTGGATTTGTTAGTTATTTCGATGCTTTTTAACAATTCTTGACATTTCCCATTTTTTAAATAATTTCTTGTTGAAAATCAATGCGTAGAAATATTTCTGATCGATTGGTGATAAAATTATTGAAATTGGTCCAGGAATAGCTGAGTTATTAACGTTCAAAATCTTTCATAATTTCGTTACATGTTCCATTTTCAGTTTTCACAAAGTGTACCCCCATATAGAAATCACCGACGTAGTCCTACGTCGAAAAATTGTGCATCTAGAACATTTTCCTACGTCCCAAATGTATTAAATTTTATTCTGTGTGAACTTTACCTTGAAACAGCCAGAATTTTAGAATTTTATAAAATTATTAAATTCAAACTCCTAGAATTTTATTTTGGTTCCTATGTCTGAGATTTTACTGCTCAATAAAAAAATCTAGTTACAAAATTCATGAAATTACCTAACCCTGAGAATTTTCTTAAGTTTGAGATGCTTACATTTACAAGATCCGGACTGTGAATTTATTTAAAAAAAAACATGACAAACGATCATTGCTTTTTCAAAGGTCACAATCGTTGTTAAGGAATAAATATAATCAAATTTATTGTTGCACCATTAAAATAATAGTAAGCCTCAATGTCATATTATTGGTCACAGAAAAAAAAATGTACCCAAAAATAAGTTGCCTTGGACGCAATTTGAGTGAGTTTTTAATAACCCGTAGTTTTGCAAAATTAAAAAAGTGCAGCAGGCCCCCCTTCGGCCCCCTCCAGATAAATTTTTTAGCTACGCCAATGTCTGTATCAAAAAATCCTATGGTTTTGGCAGTTCAAATCACTGCACATTTAAATTGGTCATTTACGTTTTTCGGGCATAAATCAGAATTAAGTGTCATGTCGGTTTGCCTTCGGCTAAAAATCTCTTGATAAAGATTAAAAAAAAAAAATGTTTTTATACGCCTTTTTAATAGAAACTAAACGATCGATTCAACCTCTGGTGGTAAATAGGAGAACGTTAAAAAGTGTGTTGTGAGTAGAAACTTGTGCCGTGAGACATAGGAAGCGGAACACTTTTTTACTTTTCCTGGTAAATTAATTCATCTGAGATGCTCCAAAACTTGATTTACAGTGAAAAATTTAATTCTATATCTTTTTTGCAAGAACGCTGCTGGTGTTCATAAATATTTTTGTTGAGTAAAATGAAGAATTAGAATAGTGGTTATTCTAATTATAGGTTAGGATCTTCCGGAATTCATGTGTGTGAATAGCTGATGTACAAATCAGTTTAGATCTATGGAAAATCGTAAAATAGGACAATTACTGATAGAAATTGGCAAGATGTACTAGGAAAAATGCTTTAATTTACGTTGTGAAAAATCCTTATTCTGATGTAAACAAACGGTTTGGTTGACTTTTCCTCTCGAACTCGCCTGGCGCTCTCTACATTGGCATTAAAAAGGTCTATTGTTAAGATGCTTAACAACCCCCCTTTTTTACTTTAAATTTCTCAAATACCATGATTTTCATTGTTGTGAACCATGCATTTCGTTGTGATTTTATGGTTATTGACAAAAATGCCCAATGTTTTGACAGTAAATACATGCTTACAATGACACACGAAACGAAAATCAATTATTTTATTCATGTGTTTCACTTATGCATTTTTGCCAAAACATCAACCTTATACATTCCATAAGACAAACCACATAGGTCCTATAACAATACATAAAAGGTATGTGTGAACCAATGAGGTACAGAGAGAGGTGGTGCAGATCGTGAAATAGGGTTGTATTAGTAAACCAAAAAATCAACGTAAACGCAAGTAGTGACGTCACTACTTGCGTGTACTTGCGTGTATCGTACATTGGTTGTGTGAGTGATTGCTTCACCTCGGTAATCCAGCTCATTGTGTGTGACCGTTTATACTTTTCATTTGACACATGAGCTTCATTAACTTTTTGCAAGGCGTCTGCTTATTAGTTGACTTATAAATTTTATGAATAATCAGCAATAGAAATTTGCCAAAAGGTATAAGGAGATTTCTATCCGTGCAATGAAAATCAATGAATTTTTATTGAACTTTTTTTTTTTACGGGTAGACTGAGTACAATCACAAACGAAGTGACAGACGGAGCGGCTCGAAAACTTTGGTCACTAACCTGCTATTTCAATTTTTCAGTGTACCACATGGCAACACCACTTCTACTAGATTGTACCACATGGAAACACTACTACTTGATTGTACTAGCATTTTCACCAAATGTTTTGGTTCTATCTCTTTCACTCTACTCAAAACTGAAATGCATAAAAAATGACAAAATGATACACTCTTTGCACACTGTCAAAGAATCATTGTACACAAAATCAACTTTGTTCAAATCAAAACAAAAAAACTAACCCATCTGGTGGATGATGGCACAAGCTTCCAAGAAAATTCTTTTACAGCGAACCACATTATTTTAATGGATTTCTTCGCCAGTTAGTCGTCTGTCACTTCGTTTGTGGTACAATTTTCGTCAATTTTCCTATTTTTTTAGGTTTTCCACAGGAAAACATGAGGCAAATTTACTCATCGCTGAGTTCCTAAACTTTTTGCAATTATGAGTAAACTGAACTCAAATTTGGGTTGAAATCATTGGCCGTGTGGCGGATTATTTTTCACACCATTTCAAGTCTGTGATCTGTGATCGTCGATTCTGCGTTTGTTTGGCTAGGTGCGACACACACACATTGGGCTTTTATTATAATTAATTCATAATTAATATTAAAAAAATTGTGTCCAATTCACACTAATCCAATTATTTTTCTCATTACTTTCAGCTTCATATCCGGTATTACACTCCTCGGATTACCGACAGAAGTCTACTCTTTTGGCATACAGTATGTGTACGTTTCCCTGGGGGTCATCTCCATGGGATTCGTCATGGCATTCATCTACCTCCCCGTGTTCCATAAATTAAACATCACATCAACCTATGAGGTGAGTGGAAAATTATTTCTTTGAATCATCGTAATCGAAAATTGTTCCATTCCTACGAGAGTGCCTACTTGGCAGTATATTTGTATCACCACGCATCATCAAAGCGATTATCTAATTGAATTAATTCTACAGTTTTCGTGTTCCGAAATAAAATAACATTGCATATATTACAAACACTAGCAGGTAATGAAATATTTGACAGCAAATAAATCTAAGTGACCGTTAGCAAAACATACCTACTTTGCACAAATCATTTGTGTTGTTGTTGTTGACGATGACGCCCGCTCTGACGTCCTCGATGTGAGATTAGGGGATTGAATTCGCGCCTCATACAGTGATAGAACAACGGCTGCAACGAGATCATGATGTTGAAGGTGGTGGTTTTCATTCATCACAACAGAATGACGATCGAGAGTGAAAGTTTCTCGTTTAGGTTTTTAAATGGAAGACCGTTTGCAGCACGTGCTTGTGTCACACAAATAGCAAGCGCCGCGACGCGCCGGTTGTTTAAATTAGTCGAGCGGACATGAGCGCAGAAAGAGAATTATTGGGATGTTGATGACGAAATTTACGTCGGTGACGGAATTTGTTCACTGCGATGAACATGCAACAATGATGTGTGTTTTGATCCTTTCGGTAATTGACGCAGGCAAAATAACAACTTCGGCACTTATTTACCTAATGTCGTCAGGGAAAAATGGGGGGAGCGTAAGGTGAAGTCTTGGTGTTCTATTTTCACTGGGAAAAACTGAAAAAAAATCTGAAATTCAAGAAAATAATCCTCAGGTTTAAAATCACTTTAATAAAATCTTTAAAAAAAAACCTGGAAAATGATTTTAATAATTTTTGAATTTCACACAGGTGGTAATGGAACTTGGTTTAATAAATCCGATGTCATCGTTTATAAAATTGAGCAAGTCAATAATAATCATTTCGTTCGAAGTAGAAGTTTTACGCTGCAACAAATTTGTAGCAAAATGAACAAAATTGACCAAAAGCAAGGGTTTAGTAAATATAATAGTATTTGGTGATAAGAGACCCTTGTTTTTTTTTCCTTTGGTTTGTTTTCCGTCGATCTTGTTTTCCGTGCTGAGCACCAATGCTACCGACGCCAGGAAGGCAGCTCCCACACCTGGACCCTACCTATCGACCCATCAACTCATGAACCGGGGATCAACGGCTTTACTTCCCATCCGAAGGAAGGCGTGATCAGAGATGTTATGCCTCAGAACATCCCGGCGGCGCCGACTGGGATTGAACCCAGGCCTGCTGGGGTGAGAGGTAATCACGCTTACCACTACACCACCGGTGCCGTTAAGAGACCCTTGTTGGTTGCAGTATCGAGCGAAAATTGACAGCTGAGCAAAAGACCTTGGTTCAATCCCAGTCGGTGCTGCCGGGAATTTCTGAGACATAAAATCTCTGATCACGCCTTCCTTCAGAAGGGAAGTAAAGCCGTTGGTCTCCGGTTCATGAGTTGATGGGTTGATTTTTTCGGCATCTAGAATTGAGATTTAGTTCTGTGAGTTCTGAAATCTGTGAAAGGGAAATCACTATTTTTCCACCACAGAAACGTCCCGTTTCTCATGCCGAATGACGGATGCGCGTGCACAAAACACATTAAATCTTTTTAAAAATAGCATTGTTAGCCAATTTTGTTTGCTCAATCGGTAGATAAAAGATGTACCGAGAATTGATTGGAGGGATTTCTTGCTAAATGAGATATTCACGATCAATTCTAGATAGAGCTAGAATTAGGGCCTAACAGCTTTTGTAAACAATGACTTCTTTCGATGATTTATAGAAATTCAAGGTGAGCCCACGCAAACCAACATAACCATCGGGTAGAGGAATACTTGCCCCTTTGCTTCGGCAAGCCTTGAGTTTCTAGAAATCATCGAGAGAAGTCATTGTTTACAAAAGCTGTTACGCCCTAATTCCAGCTCTATCTAGAATTGCAAAATGTCGCAAAAAATAGGTGCAAAATTGTGCACCCTATTTTTATTGGTTTTCTTCAAGCGTCCTGGACAAAGCCCCACCTTAAGTAAGGGGGGGGAAATACCTCACTGATCAAATTCACCCCGTTTTTGGCCATATCCTGATGATCTTCGTTCATTAAACATATTGTATTTATATTTTTTTTATTTTATTAAAACCAAATCATCATTCTCCACCCCAGTACCTGGAAACCCGTTTCGACCGACGGTTACGGATGTTCGGTTCCATCATGTTCACGATCATGAATGTAAGTCTGAGAAACCTTAGGTAACTATTTGAGCTTCGCAGCAACCGGCACTAATTGTTCTTTTCAACCTAGATTGGGTACCTTCCGATCGTGATCTACGTACCGGCGCTCGCCTTCAATCAAGGTATGGACGCAATTCACTGTAATGTGTAACCTATAATCTCACATAGAACCATGTGGTCGAAACTTACCATCCTAACCTCTATCTTCCAACAGTGACCGGCGTGAACATCCATGTGATTACTCCTATTGTTTGTATCGTGTGCGTTTTCTACACCTGTGTGGTAGGTGCCCCCTTGCCATTTAGATACACGTGATTTTGAACGGTAGTTTTTACCTTCCTTAGGAAAAGAATGGCCTGTTGCATGCGTCTTAGAACTACTAATAGTGCATGAATTTGAATGGTATGGTACATTTCTATCGTATTGTTGAGCCTGATCATATGTTAAACCCATGTTTCCAGGGTGGTCTGAAAGCCGTCGTTTGGACTGATGTCGTGCAAACGTTTTCGATGTTTGGTGCTTTGCTTCTGGTAGCCGTCAAAGGAACCATCGATCTTGGAGGCTCGGATGTCGTGTTCCGAAACGCGTGGGACACGGGCCGGTTGGAAAGACCCAAGTATGTGTTTGCCCAGCTGATTTGCTTTCGGGATAAATAACGCCTAGTTTGGTTTCAGCTTCGACATCAATCCAACCACACGGCATACATTGTGGTCCCAGTTGATCGGAGGTTTCGTGTACTGGCTACAGACCAACGCCGTTAGTCAGAACATGATCCAGCGATACCTCTCGCTTCCATCGGTCAAAGCAGGCCGAAGAGCGCTTTGGATCTTTGTCGTCGGAGTGTGCATTCTGATGGCTCTATGCAGCTACAATGGCCTATTGATCTACGCAACCTATAGGAATTGTGATCCGCTAACTACCAAGGTGTGTTAGAAACCCATAACTGATGATGTGCACTCTCTACAAAGCTATCCTTTTTTCAGTTGGCCAAGGCAAAGGATCAGCTGCTGCCGCTCTTTGTGATGGACATCCTTGGAGAGTTGCCCGGACTTCCAGGTTTATTTATCGCAGGCGTGTTCAGTGCCGCTCTTAGTTCACTGTCAACTTGTCTGAACTCGATGTCGGCCGTTATACTGGAAGATTTTGTGAAGCCTTTCGTCAAGAAACCCCTAACGCCGAGGGCTGTCAACTGGATCATGAGATCGGTAGTCGTCGGTGTGGGAGCTCTCTGTGCAGCATTGGTCTTTGTGGTGGAGAAAATGGGAACCGTGCTACAGTTGACCATGAGTCTGGAAGCCATTACCAACGGTCCACTACTGGGTACATTCACTCTAGGTATTCTGGTTCCGTGGGTTGAAGCAAGGGTACGTTAGAGGTTCCGGAATCACAATCAGCACCCAATTCAAATTGTCAAAATTTTAGAGTGCCCTTACTGGAGGAATCGTTGGTGTTTTGTTCATGTCGTGGTTAAGTCTGAAGGCGCAGTACGCCGTTGCTACCGGAGCGATAGTTTTCCCTCACAAGCAGATGTCCGTCGAAGAATGTTCCTATGAATTCGACCATTCCTTGGTGAATGCCACCGTCACAAGCTCCGTAACAGTAGAGTAAGACCCCATTGTTTAAAAATACCAGTATATAAATTAACCTCTTTCCTTTCATTTTCCAGGGAAATCTTCCCCCTGTTCCGAATATCGTACATGTGGTACACTTTCCTGGGGGCGGCGGTTACGATCATCGTATCCGTCTGCTGTACGGTCGTATTCGGTCGGAATGATCCCAAGACGGTTGCGCCGGATTTGCTCGCTGGGTTCGTTCGGCGATACGTGCATCGAAATGGCGTTGCCAGCGGGCATGCCAATGGAAAAGCCCATTTGAATAATTTAGTTCAAAATCATGACCACGAAAAGATTGTCAAGGAATCTCAACTTTAGACGGGTGCTTGGACGAGTTTTATGAGATATTTCAATCTGATTGATAAAGCGTTCCTAAACGTACTGGTTATGACCGATGACAGGTATGTATACTGAAACTAATTGTTATTTAAGGCGGTAAAATTGAGTTTATTTTAAAGTTATCATTTGTTCCATATTGGGATAGTGGAATATCACGTCATGATAGGCAATTACGATTTGTAGTACAGCGGTCGTTTCACAGGCTCTCTTAGCGCAGTCGGTAAAGGCGCCAGCTACAAAGAAAGACCATGCTGGAGGTGGTTGGGTTCGATTCCTGGTACGGTCTAGGAATTTTTCGTGTTGGAAAATTTCTCGACTTCCCTGGGCATAGAGTATGATCACCCGTGCAAACTAACGATTTTAAATTGGCTCACTACTTGACTAGCCTATTGGTCCCAAGCAAATCGATTAACGTACCCCATTCTAGTTGAAATTCTAGTACTACACTATGTTTGTTTTGATTTGCTATGAATGTTTGACAGATTAAATGGGGGGTTTGTGGATTTTCCTCAATGATGTACAGAGAGAGGTGAAGCAGATCGTGAAATATTATTGTATTAGTAAATCAAAAAATTAACGTAAACGCAATTAGTGACGTCACTAATTGCTTGTATCATACAGGGGGTTCTCTCACACAACTTAACCGATTGGTTCACCTCGCTAATCAAGCTCATTGGATTTTCCTATGTTTCGAGGGGTGAATCGATTAGCTTGGGACCGAAGATAGTACCAGAGTTGAGCCAAAAAGTTGAGCTCGTTTCTTCGGGACCTACTAGCATAGAGGTAACTCTAAGACCACTGGGTCCCGAAGAAAATCATTATTATTTTTGGCTCACTCAGTACCAGAACAACGGTCCCAAGCAGTCCCAAGCTATTTCACTCACCCCTGCATGTTCTGCATGAATCCACACACCCCTGATGTTATCTGTCAAACTTTCATAGCGAATCAAAACAAACATAGTGTAGTAATAGAATTTCAACTAGAATAGGGTACGTTAATCGTTTGCTTGGGACCAATAGGCTACTAAAGTGGTGAGCCAATTTAAAATCGTTAGTTTCGTATTGATTGTTGCTACTAGTCTTAGAGTAACCTCTATGGTGGTAATGTTTACGTGGACTTAGTTGATTTTTTCAGGTTATTTTTTTTACTATAAATTAGGACATTTTAACGTTATTTCAGTGCCAACATTTCAAAGGGGCGTAATTGTATTTGTAAACAATGGCTTTAGCCGTCGATTTCTCGCGAATAAAAGCTCACTCATGAAAAATAATGACACCAGCAGGTAGAGGAATGTTTCCTTTACCAGCTAGCATTGTTATTTTGGAGAGGTAAGATTTCATTCGCGAGAAATTTACGGGTAAAGTCATTGTTTACAAAAGCAATTACGCCCCTTTGAAATGTTGGCACTGATTTTTTGGTAATCCACACACTTAAGGCCCAAGCGCAATGACAGCGGAAGCGGAACGGCAGCGGCAGCGGAAAAGCCCGATCTGAGTAAGCCAACTTGTCTGATTGAAAACTAGTTAGAACCAAATCGACTTTGGTTAGGTATCTTGATGTCATTTGTGACAACTGTCAAACTTTCTGTTGCCGTTCCGCCCATACTCCGTTTGAGCCTTTAGTTTCTTCTACCGAGCTTGGCAAAAAAAAAAGTTTTACTGAGATTTCAGCAAACATTTAATTTGTTTGCTGAGATTCAGCTAAGCATTATCTGAGACTCAGCAATCAAATGTCACTTTTGCTGAGATCTCAGTGAAACTTATTTTTGCCGAGATTTGCACAGCCGAGCTCGGTAGAAAAAAAACTAAGTGTGTATACAATTTAGGTATCCAAAGTCGGCGATAATTTCTAAGTGTGTACACACATAAATTTTTTCGCCGAGATTCCAACAGCCGAGTAGTTCTGCAATTTATTTTGCTGAGGTTCAGTAAAACAATTGCTGAGACTCAGCTAACAAATATCATTTTGCTGATATATCAGCTAACAAACAGATATTTTGCAGATATATCAGCAAAAGTAAATGCCGAGGTAATCGGCTGTTGGAGATTTTACCGAGCCAGATTAAGAGTGTATGTGAACCAGTGCGCAAAACAGTCAGGTTCAATGAATCATTTTAATATGAATATGAACTGCCATCTGCCTCATCATTCACTGCCTCGTGAGAGTCTGAATTATTGAGAGGTAAACGAGTCACTGACATCCGAGCACTCAGTCAGTAGCTCAGTCAGCACGTTTATTCTTCCTTGATGGTACCCAATCTTTGTTTTGAATGACTGAGCGTACATTTTCTATGGAAAAGTGCCTCAATTACATGTTGTGTGAGCGAAGGCAAACGGGGCGAGTCGCCTGTTCGTGAGTGACTGAATGTGTTTGTTGGCTCTTTCATTGCCTCGTCCTTTACCGTTTGGTACAAACGGTCTGGACAGAGCAATGGATTGAATAGTGCAGTGCTTTCACACTCAGCCTAAGCAGTCAATATGTTTAAGCTCTGATGTGAACTTTCTTCGATTATCGGTAGTTTTTACCTACACGGTGTTTCGCGAAAACCCATTAATGGGTATAAAAATACCCATTTCCGCTAAAAGTGCCCCTCCTCATTTAATGGGTAAACTATGGTTTACTCATAAATGGGTAAATGGGCGGTCTGTCAATAAATGGGTGTTTTTTCACCCATTTTCTTATATTGTGTTTACCGTAAAATGGGTGAAAAAATACCCATTTTTACAAATGGAGGATGCAAGCGCTCGTTGATGTAAAAATGTTTCTAAAACATTGAAAATAAATGCAGGTGTTCCGCTCAAATTTTTCACGAAACATTATAATACAAATTATCCATTGTATTGACTTATCCGTAAGCCTCTCCAACGTTTTGGATTCTAACATTTTCCGGAGATCGTCTATTTTCGCCAAATATGCTGCGGACAGTAACTGTTTGCATCGAGGTTTGCATTCCCAATGAGCCGGTGACGGAAATGAGACGATAAAATTTCGAAGTGTTTTTTCACCCATTAATGGGTAAAAAATATACCCATTATTCAACCGTGAACTGATTTTTTAAATGGGTATTTTTTCACCCATTTTATGATTTCAAAATTCCCCCATTTTTGACAGCTGCATACATGGTTTGAAAATGGGTATTTTTTTACCCATTAATGGGTTTTCACGAAACACCGTGTAAAGCAAACCCCACACGTATCAATGTATTGAAGCGAAGGGGAATTATTGACAATAATATTGATGATGTGAATACAGAAATATTGTCAATATCGATGTATTGACGTCAATATAGAATGTATTGACAATATGATTATTGACAATAAAAGCAATCGTGTAGGGTCCACTTAAGAGGAAGAGGAGATAATTCAGTGCCAACATTTCAAAGGGGCGTAATTGCTTTTGTAAACAATGGCTTTAGACGTCGATTTCCCGCAAATGAAAACCCACCCATCCAAATTACAAATGCTAGCTAATACAGGAAACATACCTCTGCATGCTGGTGTCATTCATTTTCATGAGTGAGCTTTCATTCGCGAGAAATCGACGACTGAAGCCATTGTTTACAAATACAATTACGCCCCTTTGAAATATTGGCACTGAATTCTTCAATACACGACGTGTAAATATTTAAATGATTGACAAATCGCAGGTAATCATGACATTTTGACCTTGGAAACAACACGCATGAGGAAAAGAGATCTACCAACAATCAATACGAAACTAACGATTTAAAATTGGCTCACTACTTGACTAGCCTATTGGTCCCAAGCAAACGATTAACGCATCCCATTCTAGTCAAAATTCTAGTACTACACAATGTTTGTTTTGATTCGCTATGAAAGTTTGACAGCTAAAATTAGGGGTTCGTGGATTTTCCTATGTTTCGAGGGGTGCATCGATAAGCTTTTGACCGAAGATAGTACCAGAGCTGAGCCAAAAAGTTGAGCACGTTTCTTCGGGCCCGCATAAACGCGAACCATAAATTGACCTTACCTAAAATGGTTAAAAATTGTTTATAATCCCTGCTAAACTTTAACTGAAATGGTTATGGAACTTTACATGAACGTTTAATGATAAAGTTTCAACCTTATGTATTATGGTTTTTTGGAACTGGACCTTACAAATAATGGGTTGTTAAGAACCATTACCATTCCAAATTCTTGTTTTCTCCATACATTTTCAGAAAGAGAACTATATAAGAACGTTTTTACTTATGATTTGAGAACATTAATGGTAATGGTTATGGTAGTCAGTAAGGTCCATTAATGGTTTTGTATTATCGCTCAACTTTACGTGGAATATATCGTGAATTGGTAATCAGTAAATTACAGGCAACCAATTCGCGATATATTCCACATAAAGTTGATCGATGTTACGAAACCATTCGTGGACCTTACTGACTACCATAACCATTACCATTAATGTTCTCAGACCATAAGTTAAAAGGTTCTAATATAGTTCTCTTTCCGAAAATGTATGGAGAAAACAAGAATTTGGAACGGTAATGGTTCTTAACAACCCATTATTTGTAAGGTCCAGTTCCAAAAAACCATAATACATAAGGTTGAAACTTTATCATTAAACGTTCATGTAAAGTTCCATAACCATTTCAGTTAAAGTTTAGCAGGGATTATAAACAATTTTTAACCATTTTAGGTAAGGTCAATTTATGGTTCGCGTTTATGCGGGGGACCTACTAGCATAGAGGTAACTCTAAGACCACTGGGTCCCGAAGAAAATCAATATTATTTTTGGCTCACTCAGTACCAGAACAACGGTCCCAAGCAGTCCCAAGCTATTTCACTCACCCCTGCATGTTCTGCATGAATCCACACACCCCTGATGTTATCTGTCAAACTTTCATAGCGAATCAAAACAAACATAGTGTAGTAATAGAATTTCAACTAGAATAGGGTACGTTAATCGTTTGCTTGGGACCAATAGGCTACTAAAGTGGTGAGCCAATTTAAAATCGTTAGTTTCGTATTGATTGTTGCTACTAGTCTTATGTCGTTTTCGTTTTTGCGGTGTAGCACTGGTGTAGTGTAAGCAGGAATAAGCGCGAGTCTTTGACAGCTCAACACCATTTGTTTGTAAACAAAGGTGCATCCTATATCTACACCCTAAAATATTTCGGTGTACGGCAATGTAGCACCGGTGTAGCTACACCGCAAAAACGAAAACGACATAACTAAAAAGAACTTAAATGTAGGGTATTTTTTTTCTCTGTGCATATTTTTGAGCTCACAACACTCATGAGTGTTCAGCTGGCTGTGACGGCTGTCACTGTCAGTCTGGCAAGTTTTATTTATTTACCCTCTGTGTTTACCGCACGGAATCAAGAAGAAGCACGCAGTTAACAAAAGTTTCGCGATTTTTTGTAATAAAATTGTACATTTTCCGTTAGTTTCTGTTTGTTCGTCGTTCCAAAGTGCTTTGAAATTTGAACCATTAGAACAAAAATAACATGCCTCTCACGGAACGTGAGAAGACGATCGCTACGACGGCAATCATCGCATCCGTCGGAGCTGGTGCTCTATACTTGCTATTTAACAGACGCAAAATAGTCCGTCGCTTTACCGATCCGCTCTACAATCAATCGGTCCGGATTGTGTCCAATCCGGAGGATTGCCAGAAGGTTATCGGATTACTGCGGGACCACTGTCGAGAATTCCGGGTGCTTGGTTTCGACTGTGAGTGGGTCAACGAACAGGGAAACCGCCACCCGGTGGCACTACTCCAATTGGCATCGCACCGTGGCCTGTGCGCATTGATAAGGTTGTATGAAATGAAACGGATTCCCCAGGAGTTGAGTGATTTGTTGAACGATCCCGCCATCATTAAGGTCGGCGTTGGACCGCTTGAGGATGCCAAGCTTTTGAGAAATGATTACAACCTAAAGGTGGAAAGTACGCTGGACTTACGTCATCTGGCGGAACGATGTGGCCTCCCGGGACCGTATGGGATGGGGAAGCTTGCCGAGAGAACATTGGGCGTCAAATTGGACAAACACTGGCGCATACGGGCTTCAAATTGGGAGAATGATCAGCTGACAGAACGACAGGTAGCGTACGCTGCCAGCGATGCGCATGTGGCCATAGAAATGTTCCGGAAGTTTGCCAAACAGGCGGTACCGCGGTGAGTTAGAGATGCTTGTAAGCCGTGGATGACTTTAATTTTGATATTTGTTAAATTATATTTCTAGGGCTTTCTATACCAGACAGAAAACCTGGCTAAAGACCGCCATAGACGAACTGGAATGCTTCTTTGATCTGCGGTTCCACGATAAACAGAGCAATTCTAATCCAAAAAAAGGCAGGAAGAAGTTACTGGGTGTGTCAAGTAAGACCTCAATCGAAATCAAACGCTCGATGGCCACCCGAGCGAAACCACTGTACGACAACTGCCTGATGCAGGCACCGGATGGGGAACTCCTGTGCACTTGCGATCGTAAGAAAGCCGAATGGTACGTTATCAAGGAACTGGCCGAGATCGTGACCGATCAACCGACATATACGATTCGGTTGAAGTTTGAGCCGAAAGGACGCGCCGTTGGCGATGTTGGCAAGTACTATCAGATTGCCAAGGAGAACAAATGCGTCGTTTGTGGGGCGAATGATTCCTATATTCGGAAGAACGTCGTTCCTCGCGATTACCGGAAGCACTTTCCCTGTGAGTGTTACTTTAGAATTTGCTTTGGTTTGCTAGTTGCTGGCTTGTACTGGTTGATTCTGTAGCGAAAATAAATCTGCTAGTACCATTTAGTAATTTTCAATTTTTTCTTGCTTTTGTTATCACCCTATTAATATCGTTGCCTTGTGGGTTTATTTTCAGTGGTTATGAAAGAGCACATCTCGCACGATGTCCTGCTGCTGTGTGCTCCCTGTCACCGAACCAGCAATATGCACGACGAAAACATGCGCCTCAGTTTGGTGTCCAAGTGCACTGCTCCCTACAATGCCCAGGAAAACCCCAAGGAAATCTGCGTGCAAAATATGTCCGATTTGAAGAAAGCCGCCAGAGCTTTGGTGCACTGCTCCCATAAGATCCCGGAGGAGCGCCAAAAGGGTCTACGAAAGAAGATTCAAAAACTGCTCCCGAAGGGCACCGAACTGACTGCCGAATTGTTGGACCACTACGCCAACATCAACGTGACCATCCCGAACGATGATTACTTTGCACACGGGGAAAAAGTGGTCGAGTATTTCAAACAAGCTGCCGGCGGACTGAGTGAGCTGGAAAAGATGTGGCGAGAGCACTTTCTGCAAACGATGAAGCCCAAATGTCTGCCGGAGCTGTGGTCGGTGGAGCATAATTACAAGAGGTAAGGTTTTGGAACTGGGTGGGGAAAATTTCAGCAAGAGCACAGCACGTTAAGGTCTCCACGAAATTGAAGAACAAGTTGGATTCAAAAATAGCCTTATAATTTTGAAGATATGTATATTATGAACTAGTCTTCACAGTTCGAATTCAGTCCACATGATTTGAACTCCTCTGGACAGTCATTCAACTCAACTGGACTTTCATAAGACATGTCTTCAGAGCCTTTAACTGAATTTGACCACACAGAAATCAACGCAACCTCCTGAGATCTTAGTGTCTGTCCTTAAAATCCTCTTATTTGCCCTTTAAGCATGCTGAGTATACTCTTGTAGTTCTCTGGACATATCCTTGTAATGCTGTAGACTTGCCATTGAAGGCATCGGACATGTTCTTGAAGTCATTTCCATAAATTGCTTAGTCTAACTGTGAATGAAGAATTTTCTAACTCTCTTGTCATCGAGGTCTCCTTATAAATATATGAAGTCAACTGGTTTGTCTTATAAAACACCTCAGTTTTAAACTTCAAATTTAAAGAATTATATCCTAGAATATCTTAAGATGTGTTTTGCTTCTTCTTCTTCTTCTTCTTCTTCTTCTTCTTCTTCTTCTTCTTCTTCTTCTTCTTCTTCTTCTTCTTCGCATTTCAAACTTATTATGTGTTCTCAGCTTAGTGTTCTAGATGCAATTTCACAGTTAATAATTGAGAGCTTACGATGCCTGTACCATTTTTGCATAAGTATAATTGTGTGGCAAGTACAATCATACTGTACTCTATCTATGCCCAGGGAAGTTTAGCAATTTTCCACTGAGCTAAGGGAGGTGTTTTTTAAGACTTCTGGATTTGGCTTGGAAAAACTTTGGAAATGTTATTTCATGCTTTTGACATCGTCGTTGAAGTTGAACTCCTTATTCCTAGTTATTCTGTTGAAGCCCTTTCGGTTCATAGCGATTATGTCCTCTGATAAGCCCTTAAAATACTGTAGACTACCTTAAAGTTCGCTTGAAGCTCCTCAAAGTTCTCCTCAACTTCGTTGAAGTTTGACTAAGCTTGGACGGAAATTCCCAGAAGTTCGCCAGGACTTTCCTGAAATTCGACAAGACTTACATGAAGATCGCCAGAACTTCCCTGGAGTTCTTAAGTACTTTCCTGAAGTTCTCCAGACCTTCCCTGGAGTTCGCCAGGACTTTCCTGAAGTTCGCCAGGACTTTGCTGAAGTTCGCCAGGACTTCCCTGATGTTCGCCAGAACTCCCCACAAGTTCACCCGAACATCCCTGATTCCGGGATTTTGCCGAAACGTTCCTAAAATTTGCCAGAACTTCTCTGAAGTTTGGCGAATCTTGTCTCTCTGCTAGGCCGATATTATTTTGAGAGCGAAGCGAAGAGGCGACCAAAGCGTGAAACGAATGTAAGAATTATATCAATAATTGGAATTTCAATTATTCGTATTATTCCTTGTATTCTTTTCAACGCTTGGCTCGCCTCTTCGCTTCGCTCTCACTATGGAATCGGCCCTAAATTCACTGGTGTTTCTAGGCAATTTGCTATAATTATCTGAAATTCGCCCGAGCAACTTCACTGCAATTTCCTTTAAGATCACCGGTACTTTCCTGACGTTCACCATTACTTCTCTGAAGTATTTCTTTAATTTCGTGAAATTCGCCTACCCTTCCGACGTTAAACCGAATTTCCCTGAGTTCTCCAGAATTTCCCTGAAGTTCTCCAGAATTTCCCTGAAGTTCTCCAGAATTTCCCTGAAGTTCTCCAGAACTTCCCTGAAGCTCACCTGAACTTCCCTCAAGTTCACTCGAGCTTTCATAAATTTCGCCGGAACGTTCCTGAAAATCTTCCGCACGCCACTGACGTTCTTCCATAAAGTCTGTCGGAACTTCGGTGATGTCTCATGAATGAAACCAAACCTTTCTCCCGATTCCAGGTTGGAAATCCGTGCCGACGAGGGTCGTGTCGATGAGCAGGATCTTCTTATAGCTGGTGTTCCGATCCCATTCAACAGGAATGCATCATCGGAAAACAGCAGTGGAAGCAATGGAGCTAGCGACCCTTACAGCTACAGTTACAGTCAGGAGGTCTCCGTATCGTCATCCATCATAATCGAGCAAACAGGCCGCGAAAGTGACGACTTCGAAAACGACAACGACAGTACGACAAAAGATGTGTCGTCCTACCGGGACGAAGAAGCGGCCATCGATCTAGCTAGCCAATCCAACGAGGAAACGGCATTCTACTCCGATCGCGATGAATCGGAAACATTGTTCGGTTCGGTTGGCGTTGCGTCCGAAACCACCCTCGGTAAGACGTTCCAAACGATTCAAACCAACGGTCAACCACCGTCGGCGAAGATGGCCTCGGATGATGGAGACGACGAAAGTGAAATGGCCACGATCAACGACTTTGCTTCGATCGAAACGCACAGCTATGACTCGGACGATTCAGATTCGACCCTATCGCAGCCCTCGATGACGCTGCTCAACTCGACCGACGACTGGGAAGCTGAAGCTAACGAGCCAAGCGTGAATGGGAATGTGCTGATCACGCCGGGTACCTCATCCAAAGGTAAGTTTTAACCAGAACATTATGGTGTGCATTTATCTTAATTGAGTCAATACTTGACGTTCTTGAAGAGTTAATATTAATCGAGTTATTACACAGGTAAAATATTATTCTATACATCGCTTTGTACTAGTCGACCCATTGAAGAAGCCATTTCTTGACAGCACCAACCATTCTAATGTTAACCGCCATTTCGAATCGGATGAAATGTTTCAAATAGTTCTGGTTGCGTCCCGGGACGGGATTTCACGCTAACTTGAAAGTACCCACTAAATGAGAATCTTGTACTCATTTTTTGAATTTATTCTGAAGTTTCTACAATGAAGTCAATACTACCATAGAGGTTGTAGTATGTAAACGTCAAACACTAGGGAATTGATTATGTGCACCACAAGTGGCGGTACTTCCAACTAAGAAACATTTAAATTGACCGTTAAAAACGATTTTGATGAACGTTTTAAGAGTGTTATGTCTGTTTGTCTCTCTGATCATACCTTCACTATCGCAACTTCGGGTAATCTGCGTAAGTACTTGCATTTTTCTCAGGCACTTTTGATCTAACTGCAATTACTCTCTCATACTCGAAATGTGCTACGACAAAATTGGCACAACGACGCCCTATACGCTCTCTGACCGAAGCGCAGGGTGAGTGTTTTCGATCGAAAATGTACCAAAAGTGCTTCTGAACGTGTTTCGCAGTTGGGTGTGGTGAAATTCGTGCATTCCCGGTTGATTTTCAGTGGAAATTCCATATCACAAAATTGCCCACCGATTCTTGTTTATTATTTTTTTATTTTATTTTTTGCCGGTCGACGATGACGCGAGAGTGACGTTTATTGGATCCGTTTCTTTGCACGGGTGTGTTTTTATTTGTAACCAGCGGTTGTAAGTGTGCCTGCGAATTGCATTGCCTCCTGGGAAGCCGGTTCACCGAGTTCTGATGGCATGCTCGTGTAGTTCTATCGAGAGTCTTCCAGAGACGATAGTTTTGTTAAACTGCAGAAGGATATAAATCGTCCTCTAATCTATGGGAGCTCTTCGAAATCGCCGTGAATTCATGGATTCCTTTGCAACATATCGGGTGAGTTTACTTTATTGTTCTCTTAACATTCATTCCATTATTATATTATACATTATATGCTGGGTATGGGACGGTCCAACCAGGGTACCCGATTGAAGCGATTTGGATTGGGAGAGTGGAATTGCCAACTTCCTGCCGTTAACAGATCGTGAATTGAAGGCGGGCTCTTCTTGCTTACCACTTCCCTTCGTTGAACCATCTTCGATTACTTTTCCATTGAGTTATGCAGGTAAATCTTCCTTTTTTGTTTTGAAAACCTGAAGAGAACAAATTGAAAGATTTTTTTTCAACTAAGTAAATTAGCAATTAGTAACTATATTGTTTAACTTTTTCCAGTAGAAATAAGGGTCAATGATGTGACGAAGCTTTTTACGTTTTTAATAACTGACATCATCATCCCAAATAAGAGATGAACTAGCCTAAGGCTAAAAATCTCTTAAATAAAGAATTTAAATTAAAATAATCATCCCAAATTCGCATAAGTACGAATCCGGATAGATAATCCAAGTATCTCTGATGCCTGCCTCATATCTGTACGATCCATCGTCCGCCCAACTGGGAATAAACTGCAGAGGTTGGAACATGCTTCAGCTTCTTCGGTAGATGGCGGAGCTTCGGACTTCGAGAGATTGAACTCGTGAGAGCTAATTTTCTCACAAATTTGATTTTATTGGCTTTCTGGGGACTGAATATACACCCAAAGCGAATTGTTCCCACTTCTCTCAAATTCTATATGGATTTTTAACACTTTCTACCAGCGTGTTCTGGAAAATGGTCGGACGATGATTAATCTCACCAATACATTTGGGCCTATAATTCCACAACTTCTATAGAGACCAGGTTGAGCCTTGATAGCTAGCTGCTTGCGGGAACTGATGACCTTGACAAATGTCTATTTATTTATTTATTTATTTTATTTGTCGTCAATCAGTGTAGACCGTTTTACAATTGTTGTCTTAAAAGCTATGTTTACAATTTTGTCTTTGTTTATATTTTTTTATAATATATCTTGAGAACAAGTTAAAACATTACTTCTAGCTGACGTTATGCGAGGAATTAAAATATTGCTTTAATTTGGTTTTTGTCATTGTAAAGTCAATGTTATCGCAGTGCTTATTATATGTATCCATCATTTGGTTCAAGGGCCCAAATTTAGCATAATTCGTACGATGACGATTTGTAGCAAATATATTTCTATTTCGTTAATGCCTAGATGGTGTATATAAATTTAAGGATGACAATAGTTCTATAGAATCAATGCGATGTGATACGATATCGTTTACGAAAGAAATCATAGCAAATTCACGATGCTTTTTTAATGTTTGGATATTTATGAGCATACACCGAGCTGTGTAAGATGGCAGAGGAAATACAGTCCAACCTAACTTGCGGAGTGCATACAATAGAAACTGCTTTTGAACAGACTCTATTCTTTCTTCGTGTGTGATTGAAAAAGGAGACCAAACTATGCTGCAATATTCTTATATCGATCTTACATAAGCAATGTACAATGTTTTTATCGTATACGGATCGTGAAAGTTATAGCAGAAACGTTTTATGAAACCAAGCATGTTGTTAGCTCTGTTAGTAATTATTGTGTTATAATGATTCACCGATCATAGTAAGTTTTGAGTCCAAAATAACACCTAGATCCCTGACTCCATCACACTTTTCTACGATATGGTTTCCTAAAGTGATTGTTATATCGGGTAGGGTTCGTTTTCTACTAATGGTAATTGAGTTACATTTTTTTATATTTAATTGTAGCAGGCTTGTTTGCCACCAAGTATGGAATATCTGTATTTCCTCTTTGAATGTGATGATGTCTTTGGCATCTTTTATTTCCAAAAAAAGTTTAATGTCGTCAGCATAGATTAAAACTTTCAATTTCTTAATAATGAAAGATATATTGACGAAGAGAATAAATAAAAGCGGTCCTAAATGGGAGCCTTGAGGAACTTCAGAAGTGACATTAACGGGATTTGATGTCTTTCCTTTGTATTTTACTATTTGATGGCGGTCAGTTAAATATGATTCAAGCCACTTGAGGAGTGCGTAATGAATTCCCATTTTTTGAAGTTTAAAAATAAGCATGGGTATGTCAATTCGATCAAACGCTTTGCTGAAATCTGTATACAACACTTCTACATGGTTTCCGTTATCCATTGCATTCAAGGAATAATTAACTAATTCGAGCAAATTCGTAGTTGTTGAACGGCCTTTAAAGAAGCCATGTTGCATAGTAGTTATTCTGTTTTTAATTTGAAGAAAGAGTTTTTCATTCACATTCGCCTCGAAAAGTTTTCGGAATGCAAGAGATAATAGCTATACCACGATAATTACGTATGTCGGATTTTTTGCCCGATTTAAAGATAGGCACTAAAAACGAGTTTTTCCATATTTTAGGGAAGTTTCCGGATTCCAGTGACATATTGAAAATCCAAAATAATGGAGCAGTAAGTTCAGTTTCTAAAGCTTTCATAAAAACTGGCGGAAGACCGTCAGGGCCAGGACCTTTAGATGCATCTAAATTGTTTAAACCCTTTAAGATATCATGAACCTTGATTTGACTTACGCTGATGTCACTTGAAAATTCTGGATAAGATTCAAAATATTCACGGTCACGGTCCTCTTCTGAAAACGAAGTATAGATTTCTTGGAAGAAATTTGCAAACAAATTGCATATATCATCCGAGTTCTCACCTACCCTATCGTCCAAATGCATCTTTGATGGAAAATTATCAGATTTTAATTTGGTTTTCACATAATTGAAGAATTTCCTATGTTTGAGGATTTTGTGACGACATCCCTACATCCCGAGCAATCAGCATACCTACAATACCAACTTACCTTGCTGGCGCCAAAAATCTGCCAGCGCAAAGCGAAGAGAAAACAATCAAAACACTTGTATTCGAACAGTCGAAATATAAACACGTTAAGACAAGTTTGTCTGCACATTTTATTTGTTGCAACCGATAGGAAAATTCCGCCGTTCCGAAAAACGTGTTCTCGGGTTTCAATTTTTAGTCCAGGTTCGTCTCGACCTTTCGTTTCGGTTCGTACATAGTTTTGGTCCTTCGAACCGGATAATGGATCCGCCGGATATGCAAAAGTTTTTGTCGAAGCGAGAGGTTATGTTCGCGAAAATAAAGTGGGAGCTATCCGTCGCGCAATCGCTTCACACCCGGAACCCATCGTACGGGGAAGTGCATGAACGTCGGGAGAAGCTCACCGAACTTGCAGCAAATTTCGAAGCCGTTCAAACGACGATTGAGGAGAACATTGCGAATCTGGAGGATGTGGCATCGGTGTTCAACCACCGGCTCCGATTTGATGAGGTCTATTTTCAAGTAAAAGACCTGTACACGGGTTACCTGGGAGAAAATGAAGACCAGATGTCCCAGCAAAGTGAAAGGAATGAGTCGTTTAGTGATCTGCGGGATGCAATCAAGGCACTTTTGGAAACGCAGCAGGCAATGCTGGATCGACAAAACCAGCCACCGCAGCAGCTGGCAGCGGGTGGTCAGGTGTGGAATCAGGAACCCCAAGTGAATGTGAAGCTACCGCAACTAAACATTCCCATTTTCCGAGGAGAGCGAACGGCGTGGAATTCGTTTAAGGATTTGTTTGTCAGCACGATCCACAACAGGCAGGATCTGAAAGCTTCCGTCAAGATGCAGTATTTGTTTTCCTATTTGGACGGTGAAGCAAAGCGGATGGTGAATTCCTTCCCAATCAGCGACACAACACTCGTGACGCACTACGATAAGAAAAAATACACGGTGTTTGCCCTCGTTCGTGAGTTCGTTGATCAGCCATCAGCTACCAACGCAAGCGGATTGAAGAAACTGGTGGCTACTTCTGATGATACCATCCGACAGTTAAAAGCTCTTGGCAACGAGTACGAAACACGGGATCCTTGGCTCATCCATCTGCTGCTTGAGAAGGTGGACCGAGAGACGCGCTCACTGTGGGCGCAGAAAATCATTGACGAAGAAAATCCGAAGTTCGCAGATTTCATCGAGTTCCTACAAAAACGCTGCGATGCTCTGGAAACTTGTTCGGCGTTTTATAGGAAGCTGGGAGAACCTGCGAAGAAGGAGATTTCGAAGGCAACTGGAGCCGAGAAGAAGTTTCAAGCCTTTCATGCTGGTGCTGCACATGTGTCGTGTGCGAAGTGCAGCATGGATCACCCAACTTACCACTGCGAACAATTCAGGGCCATGGATGTGGCGGCGCGTAGGGAATTGGCACTTAAGTCGAAACTGTGCTTCAATTGCTTGCGTCCATCCCACACAGCGAAGCGGTGTCAGTCGAAGTCGGTATGTCGCACTTCACAATGCAACCAACGGCACCATACAATGCTATGCCAGCGGGAAGTCAAGAAACCGGATGAAAAGCAGGAAGATGGTCAAGGAAGTTCGCAACCGGAACCGGAATCGGAGGTCGCATCGATCTCTACCAACGTAGCGCAGACGGTGGCTGAAAACCACGGACCGTTTGCATTCGCACTGCTACCAACGGTGGTGGCAAAACTTCGAGGAGGTGATGGGAAGCTACACGACGTAAGAATGCTAATTGATTGTGGTTCCCAGGCATCTCTCATCACGACAGCGTGTGCCAACCGCCTTGGGTTGAGGCGTAGCAACGCTTCTTTGGAGATCACTGGTGTCAGCGGTGAAGTCGTCGGTACCACTGCCGGCATTGTCACGCTGGTGATTTCATCGCGTTTCAACGAGGAAACTAAACTCACCACTCAAGCTTTTGTTCTTGGAAGGCTCACGGCAACCCTGCCGTGCCAGCGTTTCGACGTGGCAAGCATGCCATACTTGAAGGGTCTGCAACTAGCGGACCCCCACTTCAATCAACCAAGCTCGGTTGAGGTCATACTGGGATCGGATGTCTTCCTGTCCGTACTGCAAGCCGGCCAGGTCAAAGATCCAAACGGTATTCCTGTAGCACAACGTTCTATCTTCGGGTGGATGGTTGCAGGAAGAATCTCGAAGCAATGGTGTATGCACACACATCACTCGGCAATCAATCTTCACCAAGATTTCGACATCGATCGCACCCTGCGATTGTTCTGGGAAGATCAGGAGCTTCGTCAAGTTAAGCAATGGACAGAAGAGGAGCAAAGGGTCGTTGATCATTTTAACTCGACGCACACTCGCTCGAAAGATGGACGCTTTATCGTTCGATTGCCAATGAACGATTCAAAGCAGCAACTTGGAGATTCGCTGACCGCAGCAGTCCGTAGGCTACGCGCAATGGAACGGAAGTTCGAGACCGACAGCAGCTTCAAGGAGAGATACGTTGGATTCATGCAAGAGTATCAGGATTTGGGCCATATGGAGCTGATTCCGGAAACGGAGATTCTGGTTAATTGCACGAAGTCATATTATTTGCCGCATCATGGGGTCGTAAAGGAAGATAGCACCACGACCAAACTCCGAGTTGTGTTCGATGCATCATGTGCCACGACTTCTGGAGTCTCACTGAATGATTTGTTACTGGACGCCCCGAACATTAACACTGAGATATTCGATATCATGATGGAGTTCAGGTTCTTCGAGGTGGTATTTACGGCAGACGCAGTAAAAATGTACCGTCAAGTACTTACGCACCCTGACAATCGAGACTACCTACGTGTGGTATGGAGAAGTTCGCCGGACAAGCCGATACAACACTTCCGGCTTCGCACGGTGACATATGGACTCAAGAACTCTGGATTTCTGGCCATGGCGGCGCTCAAGACGGCAGCGGAAGAATACAAAGGGAAGTATCCTGAAGCAGCTGAACGGATCATGAAGAATACATACGTCGACGATCTTACATCGGGAGCAAAATCGGAAGAAGAAGCCATTCGTTTGATCAAGGCGATCAACGAGATCATAGAGAGTGCTGGATTTACATTACGGAAATGGAGTTCCAATTCGGCGGCGGTTCTGAAGTCGCTACCTGAAGTCAGCATTACCGCAGTACAGATACAGTTTCCGGATGAACGCAATTCGGTGAAAGCCCTGGGAATTCATTGGATTCCGGACATAGACGTCTTCACACTCAAGGTAAATCTGCAGATTGATGGTCCCAATACGAAGCACCAGCTATTGTCGGATTCCGCCAGGCTGTTCGATCCATTCGGGTGGTTTGCGCCGGTCATCGTTCGAGCTAAAATTCTATTTCAACATTGCTGGTTGTACGACCTAAACTGGCACGATCCATTACCTCCTGTCGTTGAAGAAATGTGGGTCGATTTGAAGGCAAACCTGCACCACCTGGAGAAGATCAGGATTCCAAGATGCGCAGCGAATTACGACAACCACATCGAATTACATGGCTTTTCTGACGCTTCTGAGGAGGCGTACTCAGCGGTCGTGTATCTCAGGTCCGTTGATCGCAACGGTGAGGTTCACGTTAGTCTACTTGCAGCGAAAACCAAGGTCGCTCCTGTACGTCAGGTGTCTCTACCACGTCTCGAGCTCAACGCAGCTGAATTACTTGCAAAGCTGCTGAAACAAGTTGCTGAACCTCTCAAACGCTTCCAGGTAGACCGGTTTGCCTGGACGGATTTGACCATAGTCCTGCAATGGCTGTCAGGACATCCGCGTAAATGGAACACTTACGTGGCTAATAGAACATCTTCGATACTTGAGATTCTTCCACGTAAGCATTGGGATCATGTTGCATCGACTGAAAATCCGGCGGATTGTGCTTCCCGTGGGATATCTCCTACAGACCTAGTCGATCATCCTCTGTGGTGGACAGGACCGAAGTGGCTAGCGGAGGATTCCGCAACCTGGAAACGAAGTGTCTTGTCCGAAGAACACGATGAAGCTACACTGGAGGTACGTAAGCGATTCCAATTCCTAAACATTTCTGTTAGCGTTCCAGTAACGACGTACGAAATCGAGAAGCAAATCCTCAATAGTCGATCGAGCTTCGGCGCAGCCTGCCGACAGTTGGCATGCGTGAAGCGGTTTATCTACAACCTGGGATCGAAGGCATTAACACGCTACGAGAAACGTTCTGGTCCTATTCTGCCATCCGAGTTGCAGGAGGCCAGGTTGCAGCTCGTCAGGCTGGCCCAGCACGAACACTACGAAGAAGAAGTCAAATCGTTGGCAAAGGGGAGCGAAGTCCATCCAAAATCCAAGGTCTGCGACTTGTACCCATTCCTTGATGGTACCGGCACGATCAGAGTCGGTGGACGCCTGCAGCAATCATCGTTTCCTTTCGAAGTCAAGCACCCAGTTATTCTCCCGAAGAACCATCGTCTTACGAGATTGCTGGTGGAAGAGATGCATCTACGGAACTGTCACGCGGGCTCGACACTCTTGACAGCAACAATCAACCAGACCTACTGGATCCAAGGCTGCCAACATGTCATCAAGCAAGTGATCCGGAATTGCGTCAAGTGCTGCCGACAGAAAGCGAAGATGTCGCAGCAATTGATGGGAAATCTACCAGCGGCGCGCGTAACAGCATGTCGACCGTTTAACCATGTTGGAGTTGATTATGCCGGCCCGATACTGGTACGATGTAGCAAAACTCGCGGTGAACGTTGCTCGCAGGAATATATCGTCGTTTTTGTGTGCCTCTCGAGCAAGGCAGTTCACTTGGAAGTCGCAGGTGACCTGTCTACGGATACTTTCTTGGCATCATTCAAGCGGATGATTGCTCGCCGAGGATACTGCAATGAAATCTGGTCGGACAACGGAACAAACCTGGTTGGTGCCGACCGATACTTGAAGGAAATCTATGAAGTAACTGAAGCTCACAGCAAGAACACCGAACCGTTCTTCAGTAATCTTGGCATTCGTTGGAGGTTCATCCCACCATCCAGTCCACATCAAGGTGGCATTTGGGAAGCGGCCGTCAAAAGCGCGAAAAAGTTGCTGCGACCGGTCGTTGGAAACGAGAAGCTGACATTTGAGGAACTATCAACTGTACTCTGCCAAATAGAAGCATGTCTCAACTCGAGACCTCTCTGTCCGATCTCCAGTTCGCCGGACAGTCTCGAAGCCCTCACTCCGGGGCACTTCTTGGTTGGGCAACCGCTAAATTTACTGCCCGAACCTGATGACACGCACCTCAAGGTGAACCAGTTGGACCATTGGCAGAAAGTTCAAAGATATACCGTCGAGTTTTGGAACCGTTGGCGTGATGAGTACATCGCAACTCTGCAGCCACGAGGAAAGTGGAAAAACACTCGAGACAACATCAAGCTGGACCAGCTCGTCTTGGTCAAAAACGACAACACTCCGCCGTCCGCTTGGGAATTGACCCGGGTATCCGCAGTTCATCCCGACAAGCATGGCTTAGTTCGCACTGTCACGTTGCGTCGAGGCAAATCGCAATATCAGCGCCCAGTGCAGAAACTGTGTCCACTTCCGGATTGAGGTGTTACCTCAAGGCGGGGAGGATGTTTGAGGATTTTGTGACGACATCCCTACATCCCGAGCAATCAGCATACCTACAATACCAACTTACCTTGCTGGCGCCAAAAATCTGCCAGCGCAAAGCGAAGAGAAAACAATCAAAACACTTGTATTCGAACAGTCGAAATATAAACACGTTAAGACAAGTTTGTCTGCACATTTTATTTGTTGCAACCGATAGGAAAATTCCGCCGTTCCGAAAAACGTGTTCTCGGGTTTCAATTTTTAGTCCAGGTTCGTCTCGACCTTTCGTTTCGGTTCGTACACCTAGGACAGGATTTTATTTCAAGTTCCGGTTTTAAATTATACTCCTCAAATGCCATATTCACGGCCAAATTTAACTGATCGCAAATGTCTAAATAGTATGCCAAAGTTTCTTCACTATTACACGGCGAATGAGAACGACTCAAATTTGAGTTTAGTTCACTCATAATCGCCAAAAGTGCAGGAACTCAGCGATGAGTTAATTTGCCTCATGTTTTCCCAGGCTTTTCCAGGATTTTCCAGGGAAAAATTCCTGAATTTGAGAAAAGTAAAGATTGGATTCACTCAGTCTATTGGTACTACTCCGAGACTGAATAAAATTTTCGTCAATTTCCTCATTTTCCGGCAGATTTTTTAGGTTTTCCACAGGAAACCATGAGACAAATTTTACTCATCGCTGAGTTCCTGCACTTTTGGCGATTATGAGTGAACTAAACTCAAATTTGGGTTGTTCTCATTCGCCGTGTATATTTTTTATAAAATTTGTGCGCTTTTTGCTTTTGATTTTTTAAATTTTTCAGTTCCCTGTTGTACCAAACCGGATGTTTTGCATTACTCTGACGTCTTCTTCTTTTAGTTGGCACCTCTTCAAGTATTATTTCAAGCAACACATTGTAGAATACGTCAACTGCACATTCAACATTTCCTGCAGTTCTTAATATTGCTTGCCAATCGACAATGTTCAATCTATTTCTAATGTTATCATAATTTGCTGAATTGTAATCAAAGATTTCATCAAATTCGCAGTCGTTGGTTCTTTCATTTATGTGAACGAATAAAGAATATTCTATTGCTGTGTGAAACATTTCATTTCTCCATATGACGATTCAGACACACAGAAATCTTCATAAGTATTTGTTAATAAAAGGTCTAAATAACAATTTTGTTGATTTTTCACATGGTTAATTTGCAATTTTGTCAAAAATTAAATGGAGTGTTTCATTTTCCCCAACGACTGGAAGTAAGATGTTTTCATTGTCCATATCAGAAATAAAGTCAACATTGCGTTGGTTAAAGTCCCCATATATATGTACTTTTACTTCAGGGGCTAAACTAGACAAAATTTCTTCCGCTTTTCCAAAAAACTTATCATACGTGTCCTTATGAGCATTGTTCGGAGGAAAGTATACCGAAGCAAAGACATGAGTTTCATCTGCTACTTGCGCTTTTACCCATACATGTTCGAATTCTTTAAATTTAGTAGCCATAATGATGTCTGAATTCAATTTGGACGAAATCGCTATTAATACTCCACCTCCCGATTTTTTTCCAAACCATTGAAAATTGCGGTCGTCTCTATAAACGTTATGATTGTTACCCAAAACTTCTTCACTTCTCACACTATCATCCCAACTTGTTTCATTAGCCATTATGACAGAGTAAGTAGAACTTAATATATTTTTGTTAATTTCATTCATTTTACCGGCGCTTCTCATGCGGTTAACATTTTGGCAATATACCAAAATTTCTGTACTGGTCTGAAGATTAGGTGAAGAAGTTGATCGTAACCTGTCATTCATAAAACTATTATCAAAATTATCCTGATCCATGCTCCGAATTTGTTTCGTTCTGCAAAGTGTCGTGATCTTCGTTGTTTTCTTCCTCTATGGAGCGTGTCAGTTTTGTAGAAAAAACGAGTGCCTCTCCTTGGTGTAGAGAAGTCGTCAAGTCCTGGATAATGTCGGGGTCTGCCGGATCATTGTCTTCCTCCAAGTATAGTCGCTATATTCATAGTCTGGCGGATAGAATCTCGGGAACCAATTGAGCTGTCAAATAGCGGAACCAATCGAGCAAATCACGACCAACAACAGAAAAGAGCACATCAGCTATTGCGAACAAAACTTAGGAAACCCCTTTCTCGTGACTCAAGGCTCGCCTATGCAAACTAACACCATCTTTGGGTTGGCGAAAGTTTCTCCTATCCGATGATGCCGGTAATTTGCGTTCAATTGGCGAGGAAAGAATAATCAACGCTTTGTTTATAAAAGGTCATAGTACATTTTCTATTGTTGGTCTAAAATATATTGAATTGGTTCCGCTTTATGATATATCGAAATTCTATCCGCCAGACTATGAATATAGCGACTATACCTCCAAGGGGTGCGTCAATTTCGTACAAAACACGAATTCCTGCATACACACGCCTCGCATGATGCAGTTGCCGCCATCCCGTTATGCAAGTGCGCTGGAACGGTACGTGGGTAAACATCGCACGCCGGGTAGGGGTTTAAGATTTCGCCTCGTTGGAATTGCATTGTGGGTCGATAGTTAGCCTAAATAATACTCTTAACAAATTTATGGTGGTCCTGAAAAGGACCGTTTTGTAGTGATGGTTGAGTAATGCTGAGCTGAGCACGGCGAGCTACTGATTCCGATCCTAGCCTAGCGGTGGGACTTCTTCTTCCTTCTCTATGGTTGCTCATATGAGCTCTGCAGCTCGCTGCTTGCAGGCAGCCTTTCGTTGTTGTTGTTGTGGTTGTTGAAAGCACTCCTGTTGCTGCTGCTGCTGCTGCTGCTGCTGCTGCTGCTGGACTGGATACCACCACTTACGGTGAATGAGCACCATTCAGTGGGACCGCATCGAATTCGATTTTTAAGTCTGTGTTAGGGAATGCACTGTTTTCAGACATTCGGTGATAATTTTGATCACCATTGCAACAGTTGGACATTTGGTATTTTTCAAAAGTGGCCTATTGAAAATTAACTAAGTGTTCATTTTAGCAGATTGGTAGATAAATTACCAATCGTTTGGCTTGTTTAGAATTAAAATCTATCTGCTATTGGTCGCAACCTGACCTCTTTTCGTAATGCTGTGGTTTTTTTAAATTGCGTGGATTCTATAGATCCTGTGGAGATCTATCTAGCCCTGATGTACAGGGTGCGTGACGAATTTTTGCAGTAAATTTCAAATAGTAATTTCTCATGCTTGTGCATCATGATTTAGATATATTTGACAGCACTGGATAGCTTATACTTTTAGGTGTAAGATTTAAACAAACAATGTTGAGTAAACGTAAAGATGTCGAAACAAGAGAGCAATCTGTCAGCCGTTGTCGCTTTGTTGCGCGCCGGAGTATGCATGAAAGAAATAATTCGGTCGGTAAATGTGTCTGAAAGAACAGTGTATAATATTAAAAAAGGCTTGGGAAAGTGATAAGACGGAGCACCTGCTCATACTGCTAATAAAGCACAGAAATGGCTTACGGAAAATATTTCGTAAATTTGGGAGGAAGAAATTTGGCCCCCAAGCAGTCCCGATATCAATCCGTTGGATTATTTTGTATAGGGCGTCGTCCAACGGGATACCAATAGAACCCCTCACACCACACTTAAGTCGCTAAAAGCTAAAATCAAGGCAGTGATGACATCTATGGATCGAAACATTTTAAAACGTGCATACTGCAGTTTCCGGAAGCGTCTAACTACAGTCGTTGAAAGGGAAGGCATTTTTTTACAACTTCCATATGTTGCGAAAGAAAATAAATCGCACAAAATTCATTGCTACACGGATAGAAATCTCCTTATACCTTTTGGCAAATTTCTATTGCTGATTTTTCATAAAATGTATAAGTCAACTAATAAGCAGACGCCTTGCAAAAAGTTAATGAAGACCATGTGTCAAATGAAATGTATAAGCGATCACACATACCTTTTATGCATTCTTTTAGGACCTATGTGGTTTGTCTTATGGAATGTATAAGGCTGATGTTTTGGCAAAAATGTATAAGTGAAACACATGAATAAAACAATTAATTTTCGTTTCGTGTAGAATAACTAACTGGTGTATTTTTTCTCAAATATGCCATTTACTGCAAAAATTCGTCATGCACCCTGTATGTGTTGATAGAGGGAAAAATGTAAAATTTGCGGGAGACGATGTCTTAACACTCGAAAGAAATTTTGTGAAATATCCTAGCTAGTTCTGCATGATGATTTTGTTTGATTTTATTTATTTGTATTACCAGCTGGTGATTTGTTTGTATGATAACTCCTTACTTGAAAACAGGCAAAAACTCACAAACATTCATGGTATACAGTGTGATAATTCAATAATCAATAAATTATCTCAACATTTAGTGGCAAACCATTCATAAATTTTGGTAACATACAAAAAATTCTATAATCCACATTAAATTTCATATGTAAGCGCCGATTGAAACAATCTTTTCGACGTCACTATAAGGGTGATTGATTAAACGAAAGAAACGAATCGTGCGGAATGAAAGCCGAGGAAAAACTAATTGCACCAATATATTCAGGCCTACAATTCCACACCTTCTATAGACAGGTTGAGCCTTGATAGCTAGCTGCTTGCGGGAACTGATGACCTTGACCAATGTCCAAATAATACTCTTTGACAGATTTTTGGTAGCCCTGAAAAGGACCGTTTTGTAGTTATGGTTGAGTAATTCTGAGCTGGGTGTTCAACACGGATGAGGCTGTCGAGCTGTATGTCGTTTGGAGCGAGGGTGACACGCTTGGCATAGATGACCGACCCGCAGCGACTCACGAAGAGCTACTGATTCCGATCCATAGCATAGCGGTGCAGCATCTTCCTCCTTTGATGGTTGCTTATGTGGGCTCTGCAGCTCGCTGCTTGCAGGCAGCCTTTCGTTATTACTGGAGAACAATTTTCAACGCCACACGCCGAAAGCACTGCTACCATAGAGGTAACTCTAAGACCAGAAAGTCCCGAATAAAAGTGCTCAACTTTTTGACTCAGCTCTGGTACTATCTTCGGTTCCAAGCTAATCGATGCACCCCTCGAAACATAGGAAAATCCAATAACCCCTCATTTTATCTGTCAAAATTTCATAGCGAATCAAAACAAACATTGTGTAGTACTAGAATTTTGACTAGAATGGGATACGTTAATCGATTTGCTTGGGACCAATAGGCTAGTCAAGTAGTGAGCCAATTTAAAATCGTTAGTTTCGTATTGATTGTTGCTGCTACTGCTGCTACTAATTTCAACGACCGAACACCACCAGTGGTGTGGTCGTTGGGAGCGTGTGGTTCTGAGTATAGTGATGAGTGTGCAAAATATTACGCAATTCCATCCTCCCTATTCGCACGCGCCCGAGGATCTGAGGCGAATACCACTTCGACTTGTTTCTTCTACTTACTACTCTCTGACGACTATGCTGGGGAAGCAGCATATGCATGTAAGTAATTGGTTGATTTATTAGGTAATTCGACGGTTTTGGACAATGCTGGACATTTATCAGTTTTTCAATAGTTTTTTTTTTAAATCAACATTCGGAAGCATTGTTATCGATGCGTAGTCATATTTCTGATCGATTGGTGATAAAATTATTGAAATTGGACCAGGGGCAGCTGAGTTATTAACGTTCAAAATCTTTCTTAATTTGTTACATGTTCCATTTTCGGTTTTCACAAAGTGTACCCCCATATAGAAATCAAAGACGTAGTCCTACGTCAAAATATTTTTGCAGCCATTAGACTCAATTATTTAGAAAAAAAACAATTCATTGTTAAAATCATAATTCTAAACTACACAATTATTTAGTTTTGGTTTGTAGTTAAATTCCAACAAACTTTTGGTCCGCTACATCACAACTGGCATCACTAGTGTGCATCTTTCGAAATGTAAAGATACAGACAAGCCCTGGGACCGGGTTGCAGTTAAGCAATCCTCAAGGTTATGCCAATGCCCAGGGATTTCAGATGCAATCAGCAATATTGAGATATATTTGAGATATGTGGGTTTGACTCAAACAATATATTATAATTCCTTGCCCACTGTGCAGTGGACTAAAGCCTTATACCATGTTCACATTACAGCGTATATCACGTGATATACGCTGTCTTGCAATGAGCACTCATACATCTAGTTTTCACTGGAAATCATATGTATGAGTGCTCATTGCAAGACAGCCTATATTACGTGATATAGGCTGTAATGTGAACGGGGTATTACAGTAAAAGTACGGACGACTGTCAAAAGTTGTTCCAATCGAACCGTTAAAATGCACCGCTTTCTTCGATTGGAACAGTTTTTTTTTCAGTTCTGTGGTGACAGTCGTCCATACTTTAACTAGAGGGCTTTACATTGGACACATAATACCCTGTACAGACTATGGCTTATATCATGTAATATAGGCTGGCTTGCAATGAGCACTCATACATCTAGTTTTCACTGGAAATCCTATATATGAGTGCTCATTGCAAGCCAGTCTATATTACATGATATAGGCCATAGTCTGTCCGGGGTATAAGGTTCGTGTGATTTACAGGTGCAATTTGCAATTCAGTGCCAACATTTCAAAGGGGCGTAATTGCTTTTGTAAACAATGGCTTTAGCCATCAATTACTCGCGAATAAAAGCTCACGCCTCCAGAATAACAATGCTAGCTGGCAGAGGAAACATTCCTCTACCTGTTGGTGTCATTATTTTTCATTAGTGAGCTTTTATTCGCGAGAAATCGATGGCTAAAGCCATTGTTTATAAATGCAATTACGCCCCTTTGAAATGTTGGCACTGAATTATGGGATCACAGGAAATTCACATGGACATTTTCCACTGGTTATGTGATTTATTTTATGAGTGATAAACTGGTTACCCTGCTGCAGGGCCGCATCGAAAAGTCACCACAGTCACACACAGTGCCGAAAGTGAGAGCAGGAGAGAGTGCCTTGCGCTCGGTTCATGCATATTCCGACTGCATTTGACACTAATTTGCATATGTGCGTGTGCCATCATATCGCATACTACCTTTGGATGTGACTACCGATACTGCTGTACATAATATCGTGGTGCGCTTTCTCTGCGTGTATTCCACAACCATCAGGCAGGCGCTTAGGGCTTAACATTATACTAAAACGTCGACTTTGTATAGTATGGAAAAGTCAAGCGTTTACGTCGTTCAGATATGCTTGGGTCTCTGTGTGCGTTTTATTTTTATTACTACTTTACTTCTTAGTAGGTAGTACATATTAGTGGCATGGGGAGTTCGAGAGACAGAAGGAAAAATTGGATTAGTATAAGCGTATTTTCTTGACTGAATTCACCATAGTTCGGACTTTTTCTCTGCTCCCTTTTGCTTTTTAGTCTACTTTATTTATTTATTTCGTACACTCCACGATTGTTGGTTTCTTCTGTGCTTAATCTACCATCCATATCGGTTTGCACAGGGAGAAGAAGTAAAAAGAGTGCAGTGTAATTAAGCGTAGCGAAAAAGTCAGGGGCTTCGAAGGCCTTACGCGAGTTATGAGTGACTTATCACCGAATATTTGTTTTGATGCATTATCAGTGCTAAATAGTAATGTACAGTTGGTGGAAAAAGGTAAGCCCCGCGATCGCAGTGGACCGATGATTGCTGACTTTTCGGGGTCGATCAGGGCACCCTTCGAAAAGGCCAACATCAGCGACAGTGTAGCAGCACCAGTCAGTGGGAAGGTGGAAAATGGGACCACTTTTCCGGATTAACTTTCGTCGCAGTAGGCCATGCTAGGTCGCACTTTCTGTGTCTTCCAGCCTACTTTGATCGACAGCACCATGTTTCCGGTGGGTGGAAAGTGGCCTGAAAGAAGATTGGAACGCAGTGATCGCATAGTTGATCCTACATATTCGGTTCAACCCTTGGGAAAGTGGGCAGGGAAAAGTGGTATCCATTTTCTGACTTATTTTTCCGCACAACTTGGATTTTCTCACACACATTAGTTCGCATGCCTACATGTCATGTCACTGTCGTTCGTTCGCCAACCAACCAACAGGCCAATATTCCGTGAGTAAGTTTGGGTGGTGGACACGGCTGTGTGTGGGTTCCGAGCCGTCAGTGCTGTTGCCTGCTGGTGCTGGTACACTGCTCTGGCAAACACTCTCGCTCTCGCTGTCCTCAGCGAAAAGACGAAAATCTGGAACGAGCACTAGAATAATACAATACAACATCCCTGGATCTTCTCTCTTTCCATCTCTCTGTCGTCTGCGAATCTCGTCGATTTCCTGTGCACTGGCTGATCGTGATCGTGGCTGCCCCGGAACGGAACATATCTCGGACGGACCTGCAACCTGCAAAACACAACACGTCGCCATCCCGAAAACATCCCCTCTCGATTGCTGCTGGGTTGACTCATCATGATCCTAGTATGCAGCATCTGTGGAGCATCGCATTACACCCAAAATTGTCCAGAATATGCCAAGGGAGATCATGTAAGTACAGAGCCGAGTGTGCGCCTGGGCACATTTAATGCCTTTTATGGAAGTATTGTCGATTTCGTCCGTTTGCTAAGTGAAAATCCGCCCGATCGGGGCGCCAACCTCTGGGAGCCCTCGAGCCCCAACGATCCACCGCGCAGGAAGTGCAACTCGACCTGATTAAATTATATAATTTACGCATTTTAATGTCCATGACAACATGTGCGCAGTCCGTTCGCCATTTAGCTAGTCTGTGCGCAGCTCGGCGAAAAAAAGTCAATATTTTTATCCCCATGTTGCAGCCACTTTGCAAATGGACGGATCGATCACTGTTTTTTTTTTCTCCGTGCCACTTAGTCAAAACAACAATCCCAAAACTAATCCTCACAAACACACCTATCTTGCTTTCTATTTCTTTTTCGCAATCCCACGTCGTCGCCCACTGACCGACCTAACGTGTTTGGTTGGTCCGTGACAAACCCCAACCGTAGATCGAAGATAAGCCCTCGCTTAACCTCTCAAGGTCATCGGTGCCCAATGGGCTGCTGATCATGGATGCGGCCGACGGAAGTAGCTGCGTCGTGACGTCACAGAAGTTTGCCAAAGGGACGCGCTTCGGGCCACTGTTGGCGCAAAAGTCGTACGCTCCGATCAAGAACATCCCGTTTCCGCTGGTGCTGTTCGCCACACCGTACTACTACGGGAGCGGTGGTGAGCTGGACTTTGACTTGCAGACCCTGTTCAACGGGCGGAACGTGTACCTGGACACGCGGAATACGAACAAGTGCAACTGGATGATCCACGTCAGTTTGGCGAGGTTTTCCAACGAGCAGAATTTGATTTGCTATCAGGTGAGTGACTTTGGATTTGATTTCGTTTCGATAAGTTTGACCGTTTTTATGCATTCCTACGACATGAACATTCTTAAACAATGTTTCTTAAAAATACTGAAAGAGTTCATTTGAATGGAATTCAGGAGACGCGTGGTATTCAGCGAGCATTTTCATACTTGACTAAAACCACCATGATGCTCCATGGTTGGTTTGGTTTACAAAAAAAAACATATCTGTTGTACCGAGGACCATGGAAGATCACTCTGCTAAACTTTGGCATTAGTCTTCTCCAGCTACATATGTAAATGGAAAAGAAGGGAATCTCAGGGAATTCCATTTATGATCTGGACACTTAGAAAATCCCAGGGAATTTTCCATCCTCATTCATTACTAACTACAGCCAACTTTCGCTCGTTGGGCTAAACCCATAGCCCACTTAGCAAACGGCTTTCGTTAGTTGGGCTGAGCTGTCAAGCTAAAAATTGATTGAGGGATACACTAGAAACACTGGAATAAGAGATCAACGTAGACACTGTTATGATTCCAATCGAACTGTCAAAAGCGGTTCCAATCTGCAATGTTTACAAATGGTTTGCTTCAATTAGGGAGGAGTATTAAAATCGTTTAACAATCACTCATGAACTCGCTCGTCGGTGCATTTGCGAAGTCACTAGCAAGCAGTTACAAATGCAAGTGATGCCAGGATTGCTTTGATGTTTATCTTGTTGCCAAATTCATGTTTTTTTTCTCCGCTGGTCTCTTATTCCAGTGTTTCTAGGATACACCGATTGCTTATTATCATCACAATCCTTTAGCAAATATCCCAATTGTTCATCGATGTGCCCTTCGAAAAGGAATCAGGACTGTCAGAAATTACGTTTGACTAAAAACGTAGCTCACTTAAAGATAGCCCAACGAGCGATATTCGACTGTATAAAGATATCACCAAACATTTAGGAAAGTGAAACAATGTTTTTTTTTAGAAGACTTAGGCTTGAACTATTTAAATCCAGGAAAAAGAACTTGGAGTAGACACATTTTTTAAATGTCCTGGGACGTATTTCAGTTTCAAGGTTTCGCACTTACGAAAATTTTGAAGATTGCGGATTTAGCTTTTTATTAAAATCCAAGGTTTAACACTTTCGGGACGACTTTTTTACACATTAAAAGTGAAGATTATATCCTGATGAATGTGGGCGTCTTAGTAGAATACCTGTATAAAGAGAGAAAAGGATAAGTAATTTTCATTTCATTCCACTACCTTATATGCTTACCATTGACAGATACGCGTATTAATATTCGACTATTAGTATTAGTACAAGCCACTGAAGAAGTTCGCACATTGTAGACGAAATACGCGTATCTGTCAAGGATAAGCAAATAAGGTAGTGTAGTGTGATATTTGAAGTCTTCTGAATCGTTCAAGAGTTACGATCATATGATCTACTTGATCAACAAGGCCTTGCAAAATATCCTTAGCAAACAGAACATATCCAAACGAAGGGCCTGACACGCCGCCATCTATTCGTAGCCAGCATAAAAAACGTGATCACATATCACTCTAAGTGGGCCCAGAGCGTGGGCCCACGGCTATGCTCGCTATGGTTACTTGCTATTGGTAGAGATAGGAGTACCACCTCCTTGATCCAAACATATTCATGGAGCCTATGTGCATCAATTAAGATCATATTCCATTCTGTATAAGACGTTCTTCAAATCGTCCTGGAGATTTGATCAACGAAGTATGGATCAATGTCCCCAGCTTCAAAACATGTCCAAGTAAATTCGTTGAATCAATACTTCTTTATGGTGCCTTTCTATGTATATCAGATATTCTAGATTCTCCAAATCGTCCTGGAGTTTATATAAGATGATCTTCAAGTTCAACTACGGCTGAAACAATGCCAATAGCATCGAAACATATTCAAGCAGATTCATATTTATTTATTTATTTCATTTATTTAGAGAATATACGTATCATTTGGGAGCCTAGTCGGTAAAGACACGGTATTACCATAGAGGTAACTCTAAGACTAAAAGGTCCCGAAATAACGTGCTCAACTTTTTGGCTCAGCTCTGGTAGTATCTTCGGTCCCAAGCTAATCGATTTTTCCCTCGAAACATAGGAAAATCCAATAACCCCTCATATTATATGTCAAACTTTCATAGCGAATCAAAACAAACATAGTGTAGTACTGGAATTTATACTAGAATGGGGTACGTTAATCGTTTGCTTGGGACCAATAGGTTAGTCAAGTAGTGAGCCAATTTAAAAACGTTAGTTTCCACCGGTTGGTATTACTAACAATCAATACGAAACTAACAATTTTAAATTTGCTCACTACTTGACTAGCCTATTGGTTGAAATCATCGTGGTGTTCAGATCATTCCATTCAATACTTAAACATAACTGAGCAATGTTCTTAGCAGCGAAACATATCCAAGCTGGTTCATGGAGTCTGCAAATAGTTTATGATGCACTTCCATGAATATAAGATGTTCTAGGTCCTCCAAATCGACCTTGAGTTTAGTTTCAATTATCTATAAAATCAACAACGACAATTATCTATAAAATCAACAACGAAACATGTCCAAACAGTTCCCAGGCTGAAAGCCTCCCTAATAAAGATAAATTAATTAATTAATTCCCTGAAATCAATACACATCAGGCCCCGAAATCATACAAGAGCTGAGCTCAATGAACTGCTAGGAAATCATCGACTATGTCAATGCCCTTAGAAACGAACCATATCCAAACTATCATTGAGTCCAAGTGCATCTTTTACGAACGATTTTCCTGTATTTAAGGCAGTCTTGGTTCATCAAATCTCCCTGGAGAACATGCAGTTTCGAGTTTATGCACATTATTTTGGTTCCACTGTCATTGGATAAAACATGTTTTAAATTCTCAAAATTAACCATAGATTCAGATCATTTGATTTAGTAGATTAGCCTCATTTGTCCTAGCCTTTGTGGTTGATTGAGTAAATCGTTTGATTTGATCTCCAAGGCGGATTGGCGACCCACAATGGAATTGCGAGATGTGTTCTAAGGATATTTTGGTAATATTTTTTAGAGAATTTAGAGAAGCGTCCCAAGTGAACTTCTAGAATAATTCCATGAGAGTTTCGGGAGAATACAAAGCCAATACTGAGGAGAGCTCCAAATGAATGTTCATGAGAAATCTCCGTTGAATATGGATGGGACTGGTCTGAGCAGAGTGGTGTAAATGCTCAAAATCAATTGAACATATTTGATGAAAATGAGAAAAGCAGCTATCCGCTATCAAAGGGCCTCCTTCGAATGGGTGATATAAGTTTGCTTAGTCATTTGACGAAGGTATGGATCATTCTCATTTGAGAAACGCTTGATATTATTCAATTAAGTGTAACCTACACACATTCCGGTCGACATTCCGGCGAAACAGCTAAGCCAACCCGACACCACCGATGTTGACCCGAGTTTGGGACCATTTTTCTGGGTTTCTTCCATACTTAACTGCCGTATATGAATTAATAGAATCGATTTTCTGTGGTCTACAAATCAGATTGAGTTCGTGATTAACCACATTATGCAACAACAATGAAATCGCCGGTTTAAAAAGCAAATGGATTATTGCCAAGGGGGAGTTGACTGTCAAATACGAAAAATCGTCGCCTACCTCGCATAACTGGTTCCAAACGACAACAAGCCATAAGTAACGACGGTTTGTTGATGTTTGGAACCAAATTCACATATGGAAAAGCAATGAGCGTACACAGGTGAGGCCTAGTGAATTTGTCGTCTCTTTCGTTCTTCGGCTGTTTAAATGAATGACGGAGTTGGACGTCTAACTCGTATAACCATTTAACAAACGGGAGAATGAAAGAGATGGCCAATTCACTGCGCGTTACTTATTTACATATCGTGGATAGATGATCAGTAGGTAGATTTCACAGCACATCACGCCCCTGATTATTGCCTCTTGCCCACGAATGTGGCATCCATGGTGATGATTTTGTGAGCCTCAGCAAATTCTTGTCGAAGAAACGACCCCTGTTCCCACCTTGTAGAATCTCATCGGATCATTTTCGATATTAGGGAAAGGAAACTGCTGCCGGGACACGAAGGTCAGGATCTTCTACAACATCAAATGCAATTTCTTTGAGCTGCTAGAGCTCCGTGTCAAAACCCGGATGAATTCAAATCCCGTCTGGCACGTCGAAAACCCGAGAGCTGAACAGCAAATCTAGCGTTCTCAATTCATCGATTTTCACTGTTGTTAATAAATCATCTGGATTACCGTTTGATGTTGCTTTTGCTAGCTAATATCCGGAGTGATTTGAGATTTGGGTGAAATTGCTTTTGCAAACAAACACGTCAATAGCCGATTTCTCGTGAATCTAACCTCAATCTCGTAAACAAGCTATGCCAAATGAAAGAGGAATTATTCCTTCACCTCATAGTCTTATTAGTTTTCGAAATTGAGTTTTCATCGCGAGAAATCAGCGATTGACGTGTTTGTTTACAAATGCAATTAAGCTTTTTCTTCATCCTCGCTTTTCAAGCTTTTCTTATCGCATATTATTATTGCGTGCTCTCAACTTAGTATTCTAGATGCACTGTAAAATTTTTACATTACAGTCAAATTTCGCTCGTTGGGCTATGTTTAAGTGGGCTACGTTCTAGTTGGGCTCTTGTTATTTGGGCTTTAGCGAAGACAACAAATCAAGAAGACTGGCAACTTTGCCACAATCCAAGCGACAGATACAATGGCGCTGCGCTTGAGTGAAGGTGGGCGCAACGCATAGAAAAATGAGCAAATACCTTTCTTCTGAGGATGTAATCTTTGCTATCGAGTTCGTTCCAAGCATTTACCTTTGAGCGGCAGATGACGCGACTGTACCTGTCTCATAGCGTTCGTATGAGAAAATGGAAGAGTTGCCAGTCTTCTTGATTTGTTGTCTTCGGCTTTAGCCAACCTAAATCGAAGTCAAACGTCATTTCTTACAGTGCTGATTCATTTTCTCGGGGCTCAT